TTTCAATAATTTAAGGACAGCTTTACAATATATTGACTGGCATAAACTCTTTAGTGAAAAGAACACTGAGGCTAAATGGAACATCTTCCATCAAATAAAAGTGAACCACTAAATTTAAAATATGAAAAGAGCATTCAAAGGCTTTAAATTGGACAAATCAGAGGCATTCTATAAAAGATATAAGGAAGCCAATAATTCATGCAGAAAGGTGATTAGATTTGCTAAACTACAAAATGAGAAAGTGATACCCAAAGAGAGCAAAACCAACCCCAAATTTTTAAGTACATAAATGCTAAAAAAAACTAAAAACGGGGGTGTTAGTTAATGAAGACCAGGAAAAGGCAGAAATATATAAAAAAAATATTTAACTCAGTATATATTAAGGAAGAACGTATGACAATAGATATGAAATTTATTGCAGAAAAACTGTAATTGGATGATTCAAGACAAGATGCTTCAGAAACTAAAGAAAGTTAATATAAACAAAGCTACAGGGACTGACGGTATTCATCCACAAGTTCTTAAGTAACAGTGTGGAAATAAGTGAATCTCTGTTTTCAATCTCTGTAAACTTTCAAGATTCTTTTCTTTATATATATATGCTATATGTAATAAAGAGGTAACAGCTGGGTGTGTGTTGTGTGTATAAGGATCTGAAGTAGAACCTAAGTGAAAAAATGTGTATATACCATTGAGCTGTAAGTAATTTTAAGATTCGTAATGTGTAATATTCATAATTAGATGTTGGTCAATCAAGTAATACAATATAATTCTAAGCAGAATCGGCGTCGAGCCAAATCGGCAGCAGGGGCCGGGCTTAATACAGCCCTTACCCGCTGCTCTTACTGCTGCACATGGAGGTGCAGGCTGCAGCAAGAAGGAATCCCTGCCTCTCCACCTAACAGGTTTCAGGAGGACTCCAGTGAATCCACTCCTCCTCCAGCTCCTGTCTGTACATAAAAGTGTGTGTGTGACTGTCTGTAAAACTGTCTTCCTGTAACTGTGTTTGTGTGAGTGTGTCTGCATGCCTGTAACTGTGTTTGTGTGTGAGTGTGTCTGCATGCCTGTAACTGTGTGTGTGTGTGTCTGTCTGCCTGTAACTGTGTATGTGTGTCTGTGTGTGTGACCGCATGCCTGTAACTGTGTATGTGTGTGTGACTGTGTCTGTAAAACCGTCTTCCTGTAACTGCGTGTGTGTGTGTCTGCATGCCTGTAACTGTGTTTGTGTGTGTGTGTGTCTGCATGCCTGTAACTGTGTCTGTGTGTGTCTGTCTGCCTGTAACTGTGTCTGTGTGTGTGACCGCATGCCTGTAACTGTGTATGTGTGTGTGACTGTCTGTAAAACTGTCTTCCAGTAACTGTGTTTGTGTGTGTGTGTGTGTGTCTGCATGCCTGTAACTGGGTTTGTGTGTGTGTGTCTGCATGCCTGTAACTATGTGTGTGTGACTGTCTGCCTGTTACTGTGTATGTGTGTGTCTGTGTGTGTGACTGCATGCCTGTAACTGTGTATGTGTGTGTGACTGCATGCCTGTAACTGTGTGTGTGTGTGTGACTGTCTGTAACTGTGTATGTGTGTGTGTGTGACTGCATGCCTGTAACTCTGTGTGTGTGTGTGTCTGTCTGCCTGTAACGGTGTGTGTGTGTGTGTGTGTGTCTGCCTGTGACTGTGTGATGTTGCCTGTAACTGTGTGTGTGACTCTAACTGTGTATGTGTGTGTGACTGTCTGCCTGTGACTGTGTGTGTGTGTGACTGTATATGTGACTGTCTGCCAATAACTGTGTGTGTGACTGCCTGGCTATGACTCTGTGTAACTACCTGTAACTGACTGTGTGTGTAACTGTCTGCCTATATCTGTGTGTGTGACTGTGTGGCTGTCTGCATGTGACTCTGTATGTGTGACTGTCTGCCTGTGACTGTTTGATGTTGCCTGTAACCGTGTGTGACTGTCTGTGACTGTGTGCATGTGACTGTCTGCTGCTTTTTACTGTGTGTGTGTGTGTGACTGTCTGCCTGTGAGCGTGTGTGTGTGTGAATGTATATGTGATTGTCTGCCTGTAACTGTGTGCATGACTGTCTCTGACTGTATGTGTGACTGTCTGCCTGTAAATGTGTGTGGGGGGCTGCAGGGATTTTGTATTGGAACAGGAGTCTTTATAAGGGGATTTGTAGATGGGAGTTGCAGGGATTTTGTAGATTGGGGTCAGTACAGGATTTGTAGACGGGGCGGGACAGGGGTTTTGTAGGAGGGGGTGGGGCACACAAGGGTTTTGTAGAAGGGGGCTAACAGCGGTTTTGCAAAGTTTCAAAATTTGTTCAATACATAAAAAAAAAAAGAAAACATTTAAAAAAAATGTTACTGTTTTTTTTGTGTGGGGTGGGGGTGGGTGAGGGGGTGCCAAGCCCAGGATCCGCCCCGGGTGCCAAATGCTCTAGGTACGCCCCTGTGCTTTGGTATTTACTATAATGTCAAGTGAAAGTGTTGGTTATCATGGGCCAGCCTCCATTAAATGTGGCTACACATGTGATGGCTTTGTTGTTCTGTAAGGATTTTGCTGTCCTGAGGCTTGTTGCTTTGTCAGTTTGGCATACTTTGTGGAAAGCTATTTTTAATACCCTATTTGGGTAGCCAAGAGACCAAAACCTTTGTCTGAGTTCTTGGCATTCTTGGAGAAACTTGGTGTGTTTGTAGGGCTCCATCTGATGACAGTGTGATCAGATCTAAGAAGATTATCAGCTTTCATGAATCACATGATTGAGTGTGAAATTGATGTCATTCTGATTTAAGCACTCTGCATATTGTTTAAATGTGGATAAGGAGCCTGTCCATAGGAGCAGTATGTCATCTATGTACCTATACCATTGTAGGATGTATTGTTGGTATATACTATAGGTTGAAGAGCTGATTGCATACTGCTCCCACCACCCCAGAAAGAGGTTTGCAATTTTGGTTTGTTTAGGTTCATACAATTTTTTTTGTCCATGTGATCATTTTAAGAAAAATTATATGGGCGAACCATAATGATGTGCAAATTGGCCGATTGGCGTACTGCAAAGTGTTAATATTATTGATATATTTTCCAGTACACATTTTCACTCCATTTCGTTCACAAATCAAGGGAGAAAAGCTAACCAAAAGAAGGAAAAAGAGCAGTAAACAAAATTTGATATGTATATATTATATATTTATTAAATATATAATATATAAATATTCCTTTTTTACTACTACTCTTTTTCCCCCTTGGTCACTGTGAATAAAATCAACATTTAGTGCCTGCCAATCAATTGTCATTTTTTGTGTGCATTGTCTGTTTTGTTTGTTTTGTGATCTGTCCATATGGCATTTTGGAGTTCAGGAATTCTGACAAACTACCAAATTTCTGCCAAAATGCAATTTGTTTGAAATGTACATACCTAATTTCCACTATTCTACTCAGCTAGCATGCAAAAAAAACATCTTGAGAGTTAATGATCTATAATTCAGTTTTGTAACAGATAGGCATTCCGATACCTATATGTCATCAAGACTATGCCCTGAATCATTTCATTGGTTTACAGACAATTGACATTGCAGGCATCCTATTAACATCCTACTGTTGCTACTATCTAGTGTGTTGAACATTTTCATTCTATTAATTTTGTGTTAGTCTCCATTCTCGTCTATATTATCAAAATGTCTGATTTTGTTTATGCACACATGTGCATTCCATTTTTCATTACAAAAAGGTTTTTGCTTTCTGCATTCGAGTATCTAACTTTAATCTGGACAAAATATATGAGCTAATGAAATCTAATTGTATTCTATCTAAATTCTGTAATAAATTTTGTTTGACATCAGGTAATGACAAAAACCACTACAGTTGATGAAATTTGGTGTGTAACATGGTGCCGTGTTGACTGCTGATTAACTAACAGAGGATTATAACCTAGAAGGTCAATATTTTAAATACTATGGTTGTGGTGTCTAGGAAAAATATTGAGATAATGCCAAAAAAAAAACTGGGACCCATGATCTCTGCCAAGACTAGTTGTAAATTAGGTGGTAAGCCATGATGGTTAACACCAGATCCCGTGGGAGAGTTAAATAGGATGTAAGCTCTATAATTATTATGTGTTTCACCACACTTTATTCAAGTGCATTGGCAAATAGGTTGGGGTCAATAGCGAGAGTGGTGGCCGACATTGAAAAATAAACACAAGCATTGCTGTCTGGGTTCCTGCAGTAATTGAATGTTCCTGTTTGTTAAAGATAGCACTCATAACTAAAACGTTTGGGTTGAACCGGGTACATTTTATACAAATAGCTTAATATAATTATAGCTAATGTTTGTGTTTCATGAATATTTTCGTGCTAGTTTGTGAGAGAACAAGGACAAAGGTCCCATTGAAGAGAATGCAAAGATGTCTAGATGAGGACAGAAAGGTCAATGTGTGCAGATAGCTAGACATGTGAAAAAACTGATGACAAAGAAACAACACAGGTACAATAACATTATGACTGTAACTGTGTGTTGAACCTTTTAAACATAAGAACACGTGTACCTTCAGAGAATCTAGTTGAAATTTATGACAGATAGTAAAAGAAAATGTTATTTCAGTAAAGAAACATAGTTAAAAGTGAAACAAGGAAACAGAATATACAGTAATTAATGTAGAAGTCCCATTGTATGTTATATATAATAATAATAATAAACCCTGTAACCTTCTATCACTCAAAAACATGATATTGCCCTCTTTACTAGGGATCTACAGAGAATGATTAATAATACTGTCTTGCCAACACTTCATGTATGCAGAGAAGGATTCAGATCTCACAGAACCCTAGGCAGTTTATCAGTTTGGGGCCCCCTTCATTCTTCACATAGGAGTGGTGAATAAAGACAAGCAAATCCATGGTTCCAGGCCCTGGGCCCTATGTTCTTAATCCGCCTTTGTAGGATTGTTCAATGGGTTTACTTGCAGTTGCCTCTTACATTAAAATTATGATTAGAAAACACACAGATATACTAAAAATCTTTTTATTACTGTAAACACAAAATATTTACTTAAACTTCCAAAAATCTTCTAAAGATAAAGAATTGAATATATATTTTTTTTAATTATAACTCTGTTTTTGCTTCATTCTTCTCTGAATCTTCATCCTGAAGAAGATAAAGAACACATTAAAGTAAAATGGAAGGCATATACGTCGTTTTTATTGAATATATAATATCTATATCTTGTGAAAATAAATACATTTATGCACTCTGTTTTGTGGTGACGTATGTTTATCTAGAACTATTACAAAAACTTGTTCATCTTTTGGTAATGCTTTTTGCTATCCATGGAAAACGTCTCTAGAACATTGGTTCTCAACTCAGTCCTCAAGGTCGGGCTTTATCAGCCCATGATTTGTCAGTATCCCAATATGAATAAAATGGAAAAATGCCTAGTTACTGGACTGTTAGTGTGCCTCGAGGACTAAGATTGGGAACCACTATTCTAGGATTGTGATAGTAGGTTACAGGACTGATGTAGTGATTATTATAAGCCCTATAACATTTAGCAGAAAAAAACATGCTCCGTGCTATTACTTATGCATTATGATATGCTCAAGATTTCACTTGAGGTCTTCCTGCTCCTTTTATTACTGACGAAAAGAAATGCAATAGAGTTGTAATATACTTGCATGATATTCTGTTACAGCTAACAGTGAATCGCAATTATGATTTCTGTCAGAGACTCAGTCACCTTGACATCCAGTCCTCTGATATTACTAATTAATTAATTAATTAATAAATAAATTGTTTAAATGTTTCAGTTGATTAAATCTTATTTAATAGAAAATAAACCGCATGCCAGTGTACATAATTTAAGAATATTCAGAATAATATCAAAATACAAAACATAAAGTATTAAGAAAACTAAAAAAAGTAAAAATAAAAATAAAAATGTTTAGTAGACAGTCACATAGACATCCTAAAGAAAAGGTCCCAACTTCAGGTTAAAATACTGGAAAACCGTTCAATCCCTGAACGGCGCCCATACACTACTTCCCCTATAACAACTTAAAGGGACACTTTAGTCACCAAAAACAGCTTTAGCTTAATAAAGCAGTTTTGGTGTATAGATCATTTTTTTTTTGTAAATCTTGTTTATTGAGTCATGAAAGTCAGCAATAATTAGGCTCGCTAGCCAGCAAAAAGTACAAAGTTAACAATATAAGTCATAAAAAACAAGAAGGTTCGTAAATCCAATATAATAACAACGTAACAATTCACGCTAGGATCGTAAGCTCCAATGACTGGTGAGTGTATAAGTTCTGTGTTCCCTTTCCATAGTTGGAAGTGTTGTATGCGAGCTTTGCCCTAGAGTGATGTATCAGTGTATGTGAGTATGTATGCGTGTGTACTCGCAAAATACAGCAACTCTTGGTATTAACATAGCGAGAGGACGAGACCCATCAGCCTCAAACATGACCTAGGGTGTCTAATAATAAATTGTCGCCATAGAAGGTATAGAGTAGGCTGCCTAGTAACCTATGATAGTAGAGAAGACCCACAGGTTGGTGTATAGAACATGTCCCTGCAGTCTTATGAACCCTATGCACACCTCCCTGCATTTGACTTGCACAACCTTCCTAAACACTTCCTGTAAAGAGTCATCTAAAGTTTATCCTTCCTTTATTACAAGTTCTGTTTAATTTAGATTTTCTTGTCCCCTGCTCTGTCAATAGTTTGCTAGACACTGCAAGAGTCTCCTGTATGTGATTAAAGTTCAATTTACAGAGAAAGAGATACAATTGTTTAAGGTAAATTATATCTGATTAAAAGTAAAACCATTTTTTTCATGCAGGCTGTGTCAATAAGAATCAGAGGAGGTCTGACAAGGGCTGCATAAACAGAAACAAAGTGATTTAACACCTAAATGGCAGTGAATTGAACCTGAGAAACATGATCTAAACACTAAAACTGCTTCATTAAGCTAAAGTTATATAGGTGACTATAGTGTTCCTTTAAATCATCTGAACTTGTTATGGTATTGGAGCGTTCCTTTAATGAGGCACAATTAGAACTGATAATATCCAAAGTACTAAAGTTACATCTCACATGATTTTAGGCACGATTTTGATATACCCTATCACTACTAATTTAACTTTTAAATATGCTTATTTTTAAAAAAGATGTATTTAGGACAATACAAAGAAGTATTTAATAACCAAATTCAAGGTAAGGTTCTACAACGAAATAAAGGATCCTATTTATCTAAGAAGTGACGGAAACAAATTAATTTGGAACACGTGTCAGTGCATGTAACATTTAAAAACTAGACAGTGAAGCCATGGATAAAGCATTATCTAATATATAGTTATATATAACTTTGACAGTGTAGCTATATATAAAGGCAGCATGAAAAGACAGTGCAGCCATATGCAAAAGCATATGAGAATACATTTAACAAGTAGACATTGAAAGGATTCAGAAACCATCTATAGATCATATATAAACTGGATCTTACAGGTATTTAAATCTCTGACTACATATTTAAAGCTGAGAGTTCACACATATCTCCAAACCGTCAGTGCAGAAATATCAATATCACTTTGCAAATGTAATTGTACAATGTGCAGTCTACAGATATGAAAGTCGTTCCAATGTGCACAAATATATTAAATATGTTAATCATAAATAATTCTCATTTGTCAATAATAATTTTTTCCCAAGACAGTTAAGGAGTAACATTTATAAAAGATGCTATATTGCCGCCTCAAATATTGTTTTACCATTAAAATTCCATTCCTTTTCTAAAACAGTTATTTTTTTTTTCTACCATCTTTGATCAAGTCCAATTTCTGCATAATGTTCTCAGCCCACATCTCCTACTGTTATGACTTGTTTCCCAGACATTTGTCTGACCTCAGCTAACTGACCCAGCAATCTCTGGACACGAGGAAGGAAAAGATAAAGCAGGGTTTTATCCTATTTATTTATTAGAGGCTATCTATAGCACCTTCTGTCTGTTTAATCTGACACAAACAGTAAAATACTCATGCATTCCTTCCTTCCATCTGTAAACTTCCAACCACAAGCTCTTTCATTGGTAAACAGTTGAATCATGCTTCTTATTCACATCTCAAACTCTCCCATCTAAACCTTAGGTCTATTGAAGATTTTTTATTTATTTTTTACTCCTAGAGACAAATGATGGAGTAGCTCGTTAAACTAATTTTAAGGCCCCCTCCCTCCCCAGGGTTATTCACAATGTAAAGGGGGGGGGGGGCATTATGCTGTCTGCCTTCAAAGTACTGCCTGAGTCCATTGGAACCACACTACCCTATGTAGGTGTTGTCACATAATTTTAATTATTAACAGCTTAAAATATATTTTAACAGACTTTAACAAGTTATTTTTACTTACAATACTATCCCCAGACAAGAAGCCAAGGCAAAATGTTTTGAGCCTTTCGGCAGTGAATTCATCATCTTTAAAGAATTGTTTGGTTTCGTTTTCAGTGTTATAGATTACAACTTTGGGGAGATCATTCTTTTGGAGCTTGAAATAAGCCATGGATCTCTCATTGCTTTTCAACAAAGCATCCACCTTCACAAAAAGAACCTAAACAAAAAAAAAAATAAATGCAAAAAAACAGAAACAAAATAAAACTACAATAGTGAGGTATATATAACTAAATAAATATGGTCTTGCTTATGAAATATTCTCCGTTCGGTACTTTGTTCAGTATAAAAACCACATGGGGCAATCTGTTCTGTGACGTTTGTATACTGGAGCATTTAATATAAAACAATAATTCAGGGACAGGGTGGTCTGTCACAAATATTTTCAAAGATTTCATTAGACTTGGAGATTTGTTTTGTTATGAACTGCATTTCATCTGAATTTGGGCCATTCGGGCCGATTGTATGTAATCCCGAATTACAAACCGAAATCAAACGTGCAATGGAAGAACATGTTCGTTTTGATTTGTGATTCCGAATTCTGCCAATGGCGGAAAAAAAAGAGAAGATTAATGGAAGAAGGATGACTGATGGCAAGGGGCAGACACTAGGTTGATTTTATTCACAGATCAAGTGAGATGTGAACAAGAGATGGAAAAAAGGAGGAGCAGTGAATTATCTATATTTAAATATTATATACTTACTAAATATACACTATTTAAGTATCTAAATATAGTTTTTTCCTGTTCCTCCTCTTTTCCCTCTACTAGCTACTTTTTCTTAATTGATCTGTGAACCAATTGGTGGGCAAAGCACTTATTAGTGTACAGGAAAATATGTACAAAGCATGTATATTGGTTTGTTAGAATTATTTCAAGAATCTTTCTTCCTTGTTAGCAAAATTAGGATGAGCCAAATCACCTTATGGCTAAAATATAGCCTCCATTTTTTTTGATGAAGTGGCTACCCTGTAACAATTTTTTTTTTAAATTCTTTATTTTGGGGTGCAAAAAAAAATTATATACAGGCTGGTAGTGCCACAACAGCATCTACAAGCTTAATGAGGTCAAACATGTACATACAATGCCATGACATATGAGACAATTGCACTGTTTTATGATACGAAGAAACGAGCTGCACTATAGGTTTTAATGTAAGACCTGAGAAAATACAGGCTAGAGAAACAATGTTAGTAGAAGATTAGGTGAGTTACTGTGTTAGAGTGTGCAGAGTTGGAGTATGCAAGGGTTTGGGGCATGAAAGAGAAAGCAATAAGATACGCAGATTGAGTTATGTTACTTATAGCATAGCTGACAGATGGGGTTTGCTTTGCCATAGTTAGAAAGGGCACAGTGTCCTTCTATTTGGGCATAGCATGAGGAGGGACAAAGGGTATTCATCCGATGCCGAAGCTGGGTAGGCATGTCATGCGTTTGTGCAGTACATTGGGATAAGTAGTTTTACGGTGTCTTAGCTGAGCTTCTTCCCAGCTCCAGACTGGTGGATCAGCAATCCCTGCTTTGGCACCTGCTCAGGGAGCTCCAGAGGTCGTAGTCTTTCCATCCGGGAGAAAGCCTGAAGGCCGGGGTATCTGGGGAGATCAACGTGCTGTCCGCCTGTTGCACGGCTTTTGTGGCTTGGTTGGTCATCCGAAAAGATCGCACTGCGGGAGCGCTTGGAATGGGAGGGACAGCTGTTCGTTTAATAGTGGGGTGAGCGAGGGGTTCCACAGGCTGGGTCACAGCAGGGTGCGCCAGCCTCATCCTCTCCTCCAGTGTAGCTTAGCAGCGGGCAAAGATTGCCTCCAGATTAAATAAAATGCGGCAGGACCAGTCAGTCGAGTCTGCACAGCATAATGCCGTGCCTCTTGTAAGTATTGACAGGAAAGTCCTCCACAGCTCTAACAGCTTATATCACCTAAATTGGACCGGGATATCCCCCACCGGTCCGGTAGGGTGGTGGGGTTGGAGTGCAGCAGATCTATGACCATGTTCGCCTCTTGGTCTGATCCTCCTTCTCTGCCTACACTCCCTCCCGAAACAAATATTTTCACTGTGACAAGTCTAGATTTCATTGTTTACAGTACTTTTAAAATGCTTACTTGAGTTCCACCCGAAGTGAATGGGTTAATTGAACTGACATAATTCCCCCGAGTGAGACCTTATACCTGGCCTGTCTCTGCATAGTGTTTACTCCGAATTCTTCGAAGGCACTTTAAGCACCATACAGGTCATTGTACTGTGCTACGAGTACATTGGCACCCTTTTCCTGGTATTCTGTCAACTTGATAAGGTGAGGTAGGAAAAGAACAGGGGTTCTAATAGGCACTAATAGCCTGCCCCACCTTGAAGAAGCACTAATAAATTCTGCATTATCAAGTGTGAATTTAACTAACTTCTGATGAGAAAGCTGAAAGCAGCGTGCTAACTTAGTGCCTTTGTTTATAAAAGTAATTGACTTCTCTAGTGTAAATACAGTATGACTATGGTATTCATTTTCTGTAGTATTATCGTAGTACCTTTATACCCATAGTACAAGCAAATTCACCTGTCCTTGCAGTTCTTTTGCTGCTTCACGGAATTCTTTGAGTGTTTCCTCTTCATTCTCCAGTTTGTTGTTTACAAAGAGTAGTAGATGGACCTGGATTTCAGAAGCCATCACGCCCACTGCTGTCTGAATTAGAATAAACATGCATGAGAATAAACCAGTAGTAAAGCATGGAAACCATAACCACTTTACAAAATTGTTTACAGTCACCTCTTTTTCATAGTCTGCATAAAGTGTAACAGGTGAAGCTGACATGGATCTGGAAGTGGAACACCATATTTGTTTCTTTTTAAAATTTATAAAAAATACAGACTGTTCTTTTTTAACATTTCATCGCTGAGTCACCTCATTAATTCAGATCACTGTCCACTGTTTTATTTTTTTATGTGCTTTTCTACCAGGATTATTCAATAAAATGTGAATTGCTGGAAACAGAAAGTGAATTTAAAGTGAATTTATTTCAAATTCTAATCACAATAAGCAAAATTAGGAAAAGTCTCCAGTTCAACTACATTTTCAGTTTGTGTGTTCATTTTGCGACATTAGAAATAAATATGCAGAAATAACTCACCACCGAGTTGTATGACGTCACCCATCTCAACTCATTTATAGAAAGAAATCGATACATTTTGGCAGTATCTATTTGTTGGTATTCCTTTAATACTAAATCAGTTCTGGTATTGTCCACCTAATTTCAGAAAAGGATAAATATAAATTATATTTATTTGTATTGCCTTGTAGAATACCATATTACAAAAAAAGGTATGCATTAGATGTTGAATGCGAACAGACAGATAGTTGCAAGCAGAGCATTACAGTTGAAGTGCTATTTATGCTAAAGTCGACTATTGCATAGTTAACACTTTCATGACAAAGGGTTAAGAAAACACCAGGACGCTGCAGTGCCACTATGGTAGCTCCAACATCATTACTTACTGGTACAGTGAGTTTTGACACAGCATCTGTGTGCCTGCCTGGATCACCCTAAATATTCCCCAGGTGAACATGAGACAGTACAAAGTGTTTATGGTGCTTTATGCCTGAAGTCAGTCCCTATATTAGATACTTTTTTTTTTATCCCTTCTGTTTTCTGTATTCTGCATCGTGTCTTCCTATCCCCTTAAGGACACAAGTTTTGAAATAAAAGGGAATCATGACGGAATATTTCCGTCATGTGTCCTTAAGAGGCTATATTAGTGTTTATATGGATTCGTGACCATTAACTCATACCCTAGTATACGAGTTTTCACTACCTGTCCTTAATCATGGACTGTATTTGAATATGATGCTCTGCTGTCTGTTCCTAACTCAAGAAATAAACCTACCATTAGGATATGTGTCTTCTGTTTATTACCCGTGTATCACCGTTGAAAACAATATGGCAGATGAATTACCTGTCTAAAAAAAGTCAACGAGGTGCTTTCAATTTTAAAATGTTGTAAGACTTCTGGACTAGTGCTTATTGCAAAGTCCCATTCCGGATGATTCTTGAAAAGAGTATAAAAATGCTTTACTTCTGGCTCCTCGGAATCCTGTAAAATAGTGATAATGACCAAAAGGTTTGAAATGATGTGTATATATACATATATATATTACATGCAGTGAAGTTCCGTTACTTTTGTCTATCTGTTTAATTTTATAGAAAATCAAATGATATCTGAAACAATTAAGTAACATACCTTAACAAATGCTATAATAGCAAAATCATTTGAACTAATGAAATCTTTGGCAGCAGACACATCTTGCAGAACCGTGGGTTGCCTAACAAATTCTGGAATAGAGAGAAGAGCAACATGCAGGAGATGGTTAGGGTAAGATCATATACAATCATCTTTTAATATATAATTCATTATAATTGTGCAGAAAACCTGATGTGTTTTAGGATCTATAAAGCATGCAATATTTTGGAATTCTATTAAGTATTTTTTTATTTATTTAATGCTTTTCTACGACTTTAATTGAAATACCATAATCACTGACAGTGTCTTCTCAACTTGGAGATTGGTAAATACACAAACACATTGAAGACTGGGTACATAAAAACACTGGGGTCTGCTTTCAAAACTAGCTCCAGTCAACAACCTGTAGAACCTCTTAGAGGGACAAAGAACTTTATATAATTTCTCAAAAACACCTTATAAAGATAACAGACGATGAATTAGAAATGCATTTGCACAAGTTTGTAAGTTGGTTCTATCTATCTAATTGGTTCTATCAACAATTACTTTCTACTGTCCATCCTCAACATACAAGAAGTTACTGTGTGAAACAACAAAAAGAGGTTGGATACTTTTAGGGTCCCATCAGGAGTCACCCCTAGATGCAGTCTTCAAACTTCTTTGTCTACTCTAACAGCTAAACTAAGGGCCCTTGGTGGCTTCTTCATAAACACAATATGGAAATACTAAGGGGAATACAGTTATTATTTTAAGTGCAATTAAAACAAATACATTATAATTTTTAGACTCCGTTATGCTAACTGCTCTCTCTATGCTGACAAGTGTTTAATTTTCTGTTCCCAGAAGTAAAGAAGTCTCAGAAGTCATTGCCAGAATTTTTTTTTAACAAGGCACCAGGGAATTTCACTTGAGTGTTTCTTGAATATGTAAGCATGTTTCATGGCATTTGCAACAATTGCAATTATTATGTATGCTTCACCAGGGAAATGCTGTGACACGTCTGCGTCTTTTGCCACCTGACGATATCAGCCTTAGTCGTGTAACCCAGAACACCTGAGCACTGCTAATGTCATCTGCCAATGAAGGCAAACAGTTCTTTTCTTTTTTTTCAAACTAAAGGAACTAGGAAAACATTTTCCAAATTGAAATTTTAATGGGGAACTTTAAAATTTAAAGAAATGGTATTTTCTAATAGCTAGTCAAAACCAGTAGTTGTTTTTTTTTTGTTTGTTTTTTTCTATAATTTAGACTTTTTTAAAATTTCCATTTAATTTGCATCCAGTTAAAGTATTTCTGCATTGGCCATTTTCACTGCAAATTTAAAATGTCCAGTGATTGCCAGGGTACAAGTGACAGTCATGGGAACATGATAACTTGCATTTGGCATAAGGAATTATGGAAAAAGTTTATAACATGTCAGTCAAGTCTCATCCCTCTCCTATTTTTCACCATGCGGTGTGCAGGGTGTTTGGGGATTAAATTTATTAAAGAATGCATGTGGCCAGACATGGGTTGAAAAAAATAAATGAAAACCTACCAGCAGCCCTGGGCACATTTCACTGTACCCCTAGTCTTTGTAGAGAATATAACATGAAATAATCCAGAGAATCCCCAATATTGTGGTCTACCTGTTCACAATAATGAAAGGATCATGGGATACCGAGTCCACTGGTATTGGATGTCTCCATTAATTTAGAGGTCATGGGATCGCTAGTCCCGTGGGCCTAAATCTTGAAAAAAAAATGTACAGATCATCTGTGTCTAGTCCTTTGACCTTAAATAACCCCCAAGAGTAAAGTAAAAAAAAACAACTCAGAAATGCTTCTCATTTATAACTTCAGTATGAACAGATTTTTTTTTGTTCTGGTTTCTTGAAATATAAATTACTGTAGGACACAAAGAATATTTTACTTTCCACAAAGCTAAAAACTCATCCCTATCTTTAGAATATGACAGGTTCCTTCAGATATATACATGCACCTTGGGTTGGTCAGTGTTTCAAAGCCTACGGTTAGTCTTTATGTTATTCTCTTCTTCTGTGCATGGAATGAAGCAGAGAAGAACATTGCTTTTCAAAATATGAAGAAAGGATTATTATATTGAAAATAGATTTACCTTTAATGCAAATTGTTAGGACAAATGATACAGTGAGAATGGAGGCACTAGTTAGGAACACGCTGGACAGGATATTATTTGCAAAACTGGTAAGGCATCGCTAGTCCTAACTACATTTCTGCTTAGCATACATGTGGTACACATTGGCTGTCTCTGTATTCCTCATCTAGCTTAGTATACTGAAAGGAAAACTTTAGTGTTAGGAAAGATGGCAAGTAAAAGGTTAAAAAAAAATGCTTTAAACACTTACCTGATTCCAGTGCCGATGTCAGGCTCCTCCTCCACCAACATCAACGAATGGGGAGGGGGGGGATCTGATTGCCCATGTATGGCGAGCGCTGCTCGCTCATTAGGCTTTCCCCATAGAAAAGCATTGATTCACTGCTTTCCTATCGGGTATTAGAAGATGCAGGAAGTCCTCAAGCAAAGCGTCCGGACATCCAGCATTATTTCACTGAGTCAAACTCTGTGAAATATAAGGAAGCATCTCTAGTGACTGTCTGGGAGACAGCTACTAGAGGCTGTCTTAACCTTGTCATGTAAGCATTGTAGTTTCACTGCACCCAAATTGTCTGAGTGCCTTAAGAGTCATTTTAAGTTAGTTTGGCTTGTCTTGTTTCGCACATTCTGGCATTCAACAACAGATTCTATGCAGAAATACAGAAGGTAGCAAAATATGCTCTCCAAAAATGTGTCGATGTTGAGACTGGAAATGACTCAAAGCTCTTTTTGTGAAAAGATAGATTTATTGAACATACAGCAATATGGTCAATATTGGAAAGGTACAGGTTGTACTCTACTGAAGCACACTAATACATAGAAATTATATTATATTCTCCACTTCAAATCTAGTTATATGGTTGGAAGAGTTGGATGTTTTTATTTAAGAAGATCTATTCCTGAGCAGAGAAGGTCAAAAGCAGAAATAAGCTAAAAACCGCAATCCTTTGCTCTGGACATATGGTCAGAACAATGCTTGCTGGCAAAACACACATTCAGACAGAGAAAATACAACTTGCACGTATTCTCACCATTTCCCCCACCCAATAGGTCTGCCCCCTCACTCTCCACCAAATCTCAATGACATCTATCAGGAATGTAGAAACAAATCTTCAGCGCAGATTAAACATAGGTATTAAGTCCATACAGGCACAATATGGCGTTGATACAGTTTATAACAGGATGATATCAGGTAAAGATCATTTTTGCGCTCACAATATTTGCCTCAAATTAGGGTTCAGGTCAACTGAGGATGAAGTTAAAACATTTCCATTCTATGAGGTTTTCAAATACTTTCCCTGACCAGAAGATATTGAAAAAATGTGATTACAATGTAAGTTCATACATTTCAATCCTGTGCTGTACGAAAAAGGCTACCAATATTTATTGTAAAATTGCATTAGATATGAGACATTGATTTATTCTTTAGGGATAACTGGTAATAAAGAGATAAATCATATGATCTTTCTTCAGATAATAATTTTTTTGTTACTTTGTTTATATCTACTTGAATTATTTATGTATTATATTATTTATATCTGACTTACAATTAGCATACAATATGTTATATACCTACCTACTACTCTTTTACCCATTAACTTGATGTTTGACAACATTGTTATATTTCCCTTTGTCCTGGTCACATTTAGAGTAGGTCTAAACTTAGCTATTGTTGAAGAAACAAGGAAGACTACATAAATAAAATACATACCTGTAGTGATTGTGGTGTTCAGTACTTCTGAACAAGATGAATTCTTTAATAAACATACCATCAGGATAATACCTATGTTAGACCATGCCATTTTACTGCTCACAGTTTCTTCTGGGAACCAAACCCTGTGTGGTGACTCTGAAAAAAAGGGCTAATGTGACAGCGCATTCAGTAAAAAGTCCTGAGAGTCCCTGAGGTATGAGAACTTGCCATCTGCTTTTGGAAACTTTGACCTCAAAGATAACAGGATATAGGTGAGTAAGATAAATGCTTCATTAAAAAATGCCTTAAAACAGCTACCTGTGCTGGAAATAAAGGGCATTTTAAAGTATTTTTGTGTGTAATGAATGCTCAATAAATTTAGTTCTGGAAAAGTCAGAAGTTCTGAAGTCAGAAGTGGCATGTTCTCACCAGTGGGAAATGTCTCTTTAGGTCTATGTTAGTACACATAGTGTACAAGTTTAAGTACAAGTATATTACAATTATAAGTACAAGTATATTTAATCATTTTAGTAGATAGATTACAGTGACTAACATTTTCAGAAAACTACGTAGAATCAGTTCTCATACCAATGCAGTTCAAGAGTGTAACATAAATTAAAATAACTAAGCAAAACAATAAAACCAGGAAATAAATAAAGACCAAATAAATAAACACAAATTGAATCTAGATGTAACTAAAATAAGATTAAGATGAGAGACAGACAGACAGACAGACAAGAGATTTCTGACCATTTGGTGTTCACGTTTGGCACACTCCTTGAACATCCCTTTGCCTATTACAGGAGGAGAGTATTATGCTTTAACTTTATTTACTAGTCAAATAGCAGCAAAACAGAGAAAAATTATTACTGTGCAAATAAACTTGAAAATGTATGATACAGGAGGAAGCATGCTGAACAACAGGTACAATGAAACCACCAATCACAGGTGAGCACAGTCTATATAAGGTAGCACCATAGCAACCCAGTGTTATTTGTCTACGACAATCAACAATGTAGAAGAATGAAGACAAATAAGAAAACGATAAACTGGATCCAAAACGTAATTCAGAGAGAAAAGAAATGATCTTGAAGACCTTTTCCTTTAAGGGCATGTGAGAAGAAGATGAAACTCTGTAAGAAAAATTATCTCTGTTTATGTTGAAAGAAAGAAAGAAAAAAGCATAATTTACTCAATGTTCAGAAATTGTGAAGTGTACATAATAACGTGTGGTGGGGTAATACTTGCAACCTCTCTTAATAAAATTGTGACTGTATGTCACTAAAGTTAAAAAGAAATCTAGAATTTTATTTAAGACAAGAGGCTTAGATTATACTTGTTGAAAGCTAAAAAGTCATTACTTTTAAACATGCATGCTGACATAAAATGGAGATTCACCAAAACTAGCGTTAAGTGTTAACTGATGATCAATGGATGGTATTCTCCATTTGGATTCGATAGAAGATCCTCCCGAAATGGGTCTTTCTTTAACCTGTCCGCTGGTACCTCTGGATCTCCAAGGTCTCCCACTGTGGGGAAAGAAAAATGATTGATGGGTGTAATCAGGATATAATCTGCCTCTGAAATAGGAAAGGAAGTCTATAATTTTGTCTCTCATGGTAAATGTGGCCAGAAGAGCAACCTCTTCCTCTTTTGGGATGGAAAATTCGGACAAATGTATAAACTCCCCACCAAATAAAAGGCCATCTGCAGAAGTGCAGGTTCTTCTGAGACCATTGGATTAATTGAGGGTACATTCTTACTAACACTGCTCATCTTCTCTCTGCAGCAACATAGGCGTTGCCTAAAATACAACACATTCATTGTATCCATCCTCTCAAAATATAGATATCTACCATTTTACTGGCTCTCTCAGTCAGGTCAAACATCTTTGCAAGAGGACCAGATATATTCCATCATCTGTCCTGACAGCTCTTTAAGATGCAATCTAGACATTTAATGATTATCAGGGTCCAAATCTGGGGTAAAACATGCCATGTTAGGTAAAAATGGTCTAGAGCATTCTGTTCTAAGTTTTTTTCATGTAGCCCTATGTAACGGCACCCCCAGGCATAAAAGGGGTTAACAACTGTTTAGGAGATATTCCCTTCCAGATATACAGGCAGCTACTGAAGACACCTATCACCCGAACAGGAAACCATATGAATGCCGTAAACAGCTGAACCGGAACCATACGAATGCTGTAAACAGCCGAATAGGAAAAAACATACGAAAGGTTTACACTCCTAGCATTCAAACTGGAACAGCATACAATAAATCCCCCAAGAACGAGACAAAGCTCCGTGTTGAGGATCAAGCAGTGATCTGACAGAGCTGTGGGTTTATTCTTCTTATATACACATTAGTACCACCCACAGGGTTTTGTAAAACAAGCAATAAACACGTACAATACACTCAGACACTCCCACACAAAATCCTCCCCTCTGTCTGTGATACAATTACCTTACACAATGGGTTAATGTAATTATCACAAGCAGAGAAATACAGTGTTTCCACATTATTCATAACTTTAAAAGTATACATCACATTCACATAAAACATTACATTTTCAGAATCAGCACACTCCAAATACAAACATATGTCAAAATCATCCAAATTGGTCCAGTGGTTAAAAAGATAGAGCGAAGTCCTTTGTGACCAAATGAAGCATGGCTTTTCTGCCCAAAACCAGTTCCACAGAGTCTTCTATCCTGGAGATAATTGGGAAGTAATCCAATTATCTCCAAGGACAGAGGCAAAACTCCATTGAACACATGGTAGCAAAAGACAATAAAATACATAAAAATATATAACTGTGCAGCTATTGCATAAAACAGGTACATTCAACATATCCCCAGATAGCTTAGATCTGAGCGCACATTATTACTGAATGGCGCTCAGATCACATACATACAGTTCAATTGCCATGGAGCCAAAGTCTTTCAGTTTGTTGTTTATTAGCACACTGGTTTGGTTTGTTTGGTAAAGGCAGAATTTTATCAGTTTCAAAGTCCTTGAACCTTTTACGTTTTTTCTCCTTCTTGAAGGAGGAGTGGCCGTCAGAAATTTATCTATGTTTTTCAGTATATTTGCAAGGAATTACTGTATTATTAGAATCCTTGTTTGAGTCAAGCAAGGAAAACTATATTTCTCTAAGGCAAAAATAGTTAAATCAGTATGTAAAAGTTCTTTATAGTGAGATAAAGCTAAGAAAGAAGAGTTAGTCAAAGTTTCCTGCGTATTTGCCATTGCTGATGAAACAGCTTGTTAAACAGACATTTTCCAAAACATCTGCCAAGTCCTCAATAGAGGAATGCATGGAATTGTTTTGAAGTCATGACAGAAAAAGTTTAATTTAAATAATAAATAAAATATTTCTTGAAAGGAGAATGTAACTAGATGTTAGGAACCAGAAAGAGACAGAACATGATATGCAAAACACCTTTATTAATAATAAATAGAAAAATGATTAAAAAAAATAGTCCAAAAGCTAAGTCCAGCAGGTGAGCCGGGCTCAGGAACCAAAGCAGGTAGTCAGTAGAGCCGGAGTCAGGAACCAAAGTGGATAGTCAGGTGAGCCGGAGTCAGGAATAAACGCAGATCAGCAAGATCAGAAACAAGGCCAGAAACCAGAAGGCTAGTCAGCCAAACCAGGAAAACACAGCAATCACGGGAAATGCTCTAGGAAACCAGAAACAACGAAAGGCAAAAAGTTACTGAGAGAGGAGAATATAGAGGAAAATCTTGCACAATGCTGCCAATCAGAAGTGCTCCGCCGCACATTCACAATAGATCTCAAGTAATGAAAAACAAGTTAATAAAAAAGCAAGAAAATACTTTTGAAACACAATAAATCTGTGTAAAAATCTATTTACGAAATGAATTAAATGAAGGAAAAGTGAACAGTATTACTCATCCACCGAATGCCCTGCTACTGAGCAGATAACATAGTAAAATCTTGCTCAATGTGCATGCACAACAGATGATATGGAGATTCATACTCCACTAAAATGGCGTCAGAGTCCAGTCTCAATTGTTTTTGCTGCTATTTGAGTAGTAAATAATGTTAAAGGACCACTATAGTGCCAGGAAAACATACTTGTTTTCCTGGCACTATAGTGCCCTGAGGATGCCCCCACCCTCAGGGTCCCCATCCCGCCGGGCTTGGATGGCGAGTCAAGGGGTTAAACTTACCTTTTTTCCAGCGCTGGGCGGGGAGCTCTCCTCCTCGTCTCCGCCTCCGATCCTCCTCCTGGCCTGAATGCGCATGCACAACAAGAGCTGCACGCGCATTCAGCTGGTCTCATAGGAAAGCATTGATAATGCTTTCCTATGGACGCTTGCGTGTTCTCACTGTGATTTTCACAGTGAGAAGCACGCAAGCGCCTCTAGCGGCTGTCAATGAGATTTGGAGGCTGGATTAACCCTATTATAAACATAGCAGTTTCTCTCAAACTGCTATGTTTATAAAAAAAGGGGTTAATCCTAGAGGGACCTAGCACCCAGACCACTTCATTAAGCTGAAGTGGTCTAGGTGCCTAGAGTGGTCCTTTAAAGCATAATATGACCCTCATTTACAATTTTAGTTACTTTTTTTTGTAACAGAAATGTAGATTCTATGGGCTACTTTACTGATTTGCCAATATTCCTAGCTATACAGATGTAGTGGACTATTTATACCCTTATCCTTTGCAGCATTAAAAGCTGTAAGAGCATTATGGGAGATGTACCACAACATCTGGAGTGCAAACGATTGGCAAACAATTGCCTAACCCTGCTTTAGAGTCGTTGCAACAGCAGCTTGAACACAACAGGCTGTTCCTAAAAAGTCTACGCTTATGTATAAAGATATTTTCAGATGATCACAGCAAATAAGATGTTGCAAAATTAAGTTAGTACGTCATGTAATGTATTGCACAGCAAAATATCCTGTCAATAGGCATCTAAAAGTAAATCTTTGGTGAGTGTAAAGGGAATTATAGTTCAGTTCTTATTCAAAAAGTATATAGTATAAGCATTTAAATATAATATAATAACATACAATAAACAGTATATAATATCAGATAAGCTGCCACTCTGGGTGCGGGGCCTGACAGCCAAGCGAGGTAGTCGCATGTGGCTAGAGCTCCTTGGAGAAAATCAATTACTGGGCCAGACAATTTACTTGACCTCTCTACTTTTGGCACAAAACTTCCTTATCCTCTTTGGAAATATCCTGCTGAGAGTTGGACTTGTTTCTGCCTGGTTCTGGCAGTCATAGCCCGGGCTCGACATCTCTGCAGCCTACTAATGCACCTCAGGCGGGGGAGGCAGCCGATCCTCTGCCCGGGTCTAAAGAAAGCCTGTTCCAGGGTCCTGCCCCCCCCTTTGGACGGATGGGGGATATCCCGGTCCCCACTGGTGGAATCTAGCGGCCTTCTCAGCATGGCACCGCAATATACATAGAACCAGAGGGTTGAGGCACCTTGCAAGATGGTCACCATGCTGGGGCCCGCTGCTCCACAAGCCTTCCCACAGCCTTATCACCATATAGACCAGCTACTGAGAGCTTTTGAGCAGTGATCAAGTTTGGGCTAAACTACAAAATCAAATGTTGCATGTTACTCACATTTATTTATTTATAAAATATTTTACCAGGAAGGATACATTGAGATTTCTCTCACATGGATCAAGCCATGAGATTACGAGTTCAGACGACTGGCCGAAGACACAGTGTGCTGTCTCTTCTGGGCGGTGCACACAGACCATCACGGAGGTGGAAGCACAGATGGATTCCGAGGTCGGTAACTAAGCCTCAACAATCTGGCTTCCAAGCCAGCTTCCACCCACCCAGAATGCGAACCACTCGGGGTTCTTTCCCCAGGCACCACCTACACAGCCGTTGGGTTCCTCCTGTGGTTCGCTGGCTGTCTATTAGGGAAAGATCGCCAAAAATATCTCCAGCGGCCGGGCATGGTTGATCTTCGAGGATCGGTACCTCTAAGTGCATTGTATCGGAGATCTGGTGGGATGACCTGTTCAACTTGGATGGACTCCAGTTTTATTATGGTAGTGGCTCTCCCTCTGCAGGCATTGGCTGAATTCTCTCCTGAACATATCTACAGCAAGGTTTTTTTTCCCCTTTTTCCCCATTTTTTTTTTATAGCTAGAAATAATTTCTGTTATTTTGTTCTCCTGTTTATTGACATGCTATTCTGTAGTCTAACTTATAGCTATGTATATCTATATATTAGCTTGCCCCTCATGCATAACTAGCCTGGTTACTTTATATCTTGTCTAATATCTAAAAATGTAAAGTTCATCGTGACATGTCATGTGTATGATTATACTATATGTCATTGCTATCTTGTGTATTGTCACTGCACTCAAAAATAAAGAATTATAAAAAAATAAAAAAAGAGCTAGCCCTACATGTCTTGAGGTCTTTTTATGCAACATTTAGTATATACAATACAATATAAATACAAAGTGAGGAGGAAGGGGCAGGTATCGACTGGAAGAGGAACGCATGCGCAAAATGCGTCTCGCAACTGCAAGATGAAAGGTTGGTGTGGTTCTTGGTAATTAGTTATGAGGACTTCCATAACATCCTGATTCTACCTCTCTAGAAGAAATGTCTCCACATCCTCTTTGTTTTATTTATTTATTTTACATATTCACTATTACCTTGACAATATGAGACTAAAATAATAAGCATTTTCCTGAAGGCACCTCTGTTTGTTGTTTTGTGCATTTATAAGTGTTTTGAGAAGCTGAAGTTATAAGGGTGTTTCTTTGCTGATCACTATTTTCACTTATTTTAGAGCACCCTATACACGCACGCAGGCATGCAAACACAAATATAGTTGGGAGAAGTCAAACCATTCTGATGTTATAACCACTGCAGCACATCCATATTTAATATTTTGAAAATATATTTTAATTTTGTAACAGTTTAATAGTTTTTGATATGTTTATATATATTTTAGTACATGACATATATTTAAATATTATGAAAAATAGTTTCCTTTATATATGCTCCATCCAACATTTATGAATAGAGACTCTTGCCTTGCTCTGAACCACTGGTCCTGATTCTACCTCTGACTAGTATACGCAGTTCTGTTATGTCTAAGTACAGATCTCTTAGTCTAGTCTGGGCCTGCAATACTTCTTAGTCAAATGAGAAATAAAGAAAACATGCATCATCTCTCTTGCTAAATGTGTGTTGTATTATTCAGGATGAGAACTGCATTTTATAGAAGTTTCTTTGGAAGCCATTTTTTCTGGTGCCATCCCAGGTTGACCAGGTATTCTTTCTGATGCTGTCCCATCTCTACTTGGGCACCAAGAGAGCAAATTAATATTTTAATACCCAGAACTGACCTGGAACTGGCGACAGCAATGTTGAATATTATAAGAGATAAACATTTGTTGCTGCAACATTTGCAACGCTTTGTGATAGGGCAGTACAAATTTTGCAGCCAGTCACTATAGTAACTGAAAAACAAATTGATACAAACACACTACAGACACATGCGCAGGCATATGGTATAATGGCAGTCATAAGTGTCATATTCATTATCACTATATGAGCTTATCAGCAAGGAGAATTGGACACACATGTATTATGTTGCAAAATAAGAGTTGCATATTTTGTGTACCTTAGTAAAAGGTGTTTTAGGGGTCATATGATAACATTATCCAAATTATTCACTGGTGATCTATTTGTTATCATACCTTTATGAAAAACAAGATGGCACCCACTGAGACTTCGGAATATTGAGCTTACCCAAAGGAAAAAGGTTCTCTACAGTACAAACAAAAAGATATGAATTCTCTGCCAGGGAGGGTATGCTTTTTTAAAAGGTAAAGTAGATATTAAGGGGTATAATAGTAAATGTGCTATTACCAGCTTGTTGATCCGAGGAGTAGTGTTACTTTGGAGCCTAAAAAGTAATTTCTGTGTGTTTTTATTATCAAGTCAGTAGACTGGAGTCTTGTTTCTAACCATTATTACTATCAAACTAGCTATAACATATTTATACGTTTTAAAATCCATTTTATCGCCAAAACAGGGCAATTATTAACAAATGTAAAAATAAAACTGAATGCACGATGTACATTGGTTTATGTTATTTATTTTGTAAAATAGAATGTTCTGTGCTTCAAATAACATTTTGTGTAATGTGATTTTTTCCTAATGGTTTATGCATAAATATGTCAATAAAGTTACCATTCATTAAGCAACACAGATGTGGATATTATGACATGTATAATGATTCTGTTCTTATTTTTGAATGTTCTATCATATACTACTTTGGGAATTCAGAAAGAAAACTATTTATACATTCAAATCAGGTGATGCTAGCAGATTCCCCATAATGAACATTGGAATAAAAGAAATATATATATATTTTTTTACAGAAAGTCATCAAGAGAGCACAGTGAAGTCAGAACTTGAAGCTTACACAAGTTAGCAGGTTACTCACTCGCAGTTTCACACTAAGAGCAGAGATATCCGACAGGTATCACCCTAGCTGATGTTGAACCACAAGTCACATTATTCTATAACAATTGGTCCATAGAGGAATGCTTGAAAAGCGCCATGGGACGTAGTTAAAACAGCTAGAGAGCTGCTTGTTGGGTATCTCTGATAGGGAGGCTGCAAGCAGAGGTAAGAAAGTTGATTGCATGTATTTAGAGAATATGTTTAAGGACGAAAACTATTTTATTCATTCCACTCTTTACGAATGGACAGGTTCCATTCCCAAGTTAGATGATTGTGATTGTCATCGTCTGTGAAGAAGGACTTGTTGTGGTAGGTGCCTCGAGCTAGCATGCCTTTCGGTGATTCTTCTACAGGAGTTAAAAACTCATATTCTTCTGCCCTAGGTCCATAGCTACCCACCATAAAAGTAGCTTTAGCAACTGCACGGAACAAAAAAGGTCATTAGTTATAAATGAAATATATACAACATCAATAAACTTTAATGTTAAGAAAACATAAATACTGTTTTTTTAATAGTCTTATTGTTCTGGGATCTCTTTATTTTTTTGAAGAACCGCCTTTCCAAGTCTCTTTCACTCAAAGAGACTCAACGTAACTGGAGTAAGGTGCTGCTGGGTAAGGCATTAATAGTTTACATTAACTCTTCCTTTTAAGCCTTTAAAAAATAAAATAAAATAAAATAGTTTTGAGTGTTTTTGTTTTCTGTACTTAAGTATACTGACATATATATATATATGATCCTGAGGAAGACCCGAACGGTGATCAATTTGTCATAATATGTGACGGAATAAATACCACTTGGAATATTTAAAAAAGACCGGAGAGTGCATCCTTATTATTGATATACTACATATCCCAGCGTGGGATAGCACCAGGGCAAGAGATTTTTATCATAGCAGTAAGGGTGAGTGCCATTATACTTTTACTATATATATATATATATATATTTATACTTAGTGTAGTAAGTAGGCTAAGAACTCTAAGGAATATCATGAGTGACTCATGGTAGCTACCTAGACATTTCATCCTAGTCATGTGGTCAGTCTGCTTCAAAATAACATGATAGGCACATTCTTCCATTTATTTTAGTTTAGAATAACAAGGAAAAAGAGAGAGCCTATGATATATATTACATATTGTTTTTCATCAGATACCCCAAATAGCCAGATAAGCACCCAACAGACTTTTTTTTAAAATATGTTAACATTATGTTTACAATAAAAAATAATCATTCTCTAGATATGTTTGCCATGATCATCTGCTTGTGTTCTTTTTCCGCAAGTGCTTTTCCACCTACTTGACTAACTGTGCCTCAAAATATTGTTACCTTTCACTCCTGTCCTGTAGGTGTGCTGGACATACTTTAAGCCAGAGACAATTTCATTATTCACCTGTAAGAAAGAGTTGTTTATATAGTGAGTTTTCTATTGTCAATTCAGTGTAACAATAACACAAATAATAGATTCCTTATTGAGTAAAACACTTAATGTCTTATAGCTACTCAGTAATGTAAACCATGGAGAAAATCTTACATTGGCTACAATGTCTGGATATTGTTAGAAACCTTTGCATACCAAACGTATTAATTTCAATGTTGAGAAAATTCTGTACTATGGTGGGATTGTCAAGCCATTTGTTAAATTTCATGTTTCTATTTTGTTTTGTTCCACTTTTTCATTCTACCACTTGTTTGTTCCTTCCCTTGAGTTACTCTTTTTTGAGCTTTTGGTTTTAACCGAAGGGGATACCTCCAGAGGATCAGATGTTGACATTCTTCCAGTCCGCAAACCCATACCCAGCAACTACTGACATTGGCTAGAGTTTTATTACAAGTAACTGGTGGCCTAGTCTTCTTGTTGCCTACAGTATAAACAGCCATGTACTCTTTTTCATGTTTCTTTACACCCTTCTGTCCTTTGTCTTGCTCAAGGCTAGCCTCGTTCTCATCTCTTATCCTTTCAAACTGCAACCTTATCTGCAACCTTACCCTATATCAAACTATGAGCCAACTGCCCATATTAATCCTGATTCTTGTCTTCAACCTGATCCCTAACGTTTTGAAGCCTTCTTCTGAACCTGTTATTTTCCTGTTGGTTTTTTTTGTGTTTTTTTTTAACAAATAGACTCAAAAGGGATTTTGGGATTTAACATTTGGCTCTCTAGCAACTACTTTAACTACAACGCCTCCTATGCAGCCATTCAGACACTTACCTACAACCCTATGAGCAGATGTTTACCTAGTGCCCCAAACCTTACTTATATTTCATTGGATCAAGAAACAATTAATTTTTCTTCACAGAAACTGCAGTATCTACTCCATTGATCACCTACTATACATTCCATTTATTTTCCACCCTATTCACTCTCTGATCAAATGAGATTGGGTTGATGATTAACAAATGTGTTATCATGTATTGTCATCAGCACAGATATGATGGAATTATCATAATCTATAACCTAGAAATATATGAATAAATATTACACATACAACTCACTTTAAAATGAATTTTAACTTTGTATTCAACAGCTTCTTTCAAGACAAATGTCACCTTTTTCAGATTTGCTACGTCTCCTACCAAGAAAAAAAAACACATTTATTTTTTAAATTTTACATTGATAGTTTATACAACTTCTCTTTTTTAATATATAGAATGCATTATAGATGAAAAAACAAGAGAGGAAATATTAGAAATGGGCAAAGCCCATATCAAAATTCCAAAAGGGTTACAGAGATATCAAGGGGCATAACCCCACACGATAATTTAGAGTAAAAGGAAAGAGCTAGAGTGAAATGGTTGTTCCATTAGAGATGGAAAAATTGGACATCCATTACACCAAAAGATATCTCATAAAAATAGTAGAATAATTATTGGGTATAACCTTTATTAAGCCGCGTATAGATAAAAAACAAAAAACTATAAAGTGTGGTGATAGTGAAATACTTGTGAAAAAAACAAGTGAAATAAAAACTGGGTAGATGCAGTGTGGATATCCTCAGATAGTAATAGGGTGACTAAAGTCTCTCAGGCTTAGATGTGCACTAAAAAAGGTATATTATTGACCATAAATTATCGCACAGTCACTCCCTATATCCACATAAATAGTCATAGACTCTCATATATTTTTTCTGCATACAGAGTAGAATTAAATCAATAGTAACCATAGAATATATATCTATCGTATAGAGTTATCTAAACTGTTGAAAATAAAAAAAAGAGAAAAGAGAGTCTAGAGGGAGATTGAGTGAAAATATATAATTATCTTTGCTACTCAGTTGGAAGTTTAGACACAAAATGTCTTAATCGGTAGATATATAGCAGCCTTTATATAGATATATACAATGTATAATATCCAAGTGTATCCTTATGGGAATATTGGTAGGGTTAATAGATGAGCATAAATAGTATTTGGTTTAATGAAAACCATACTAAAAAAGGTGTCTCAATACATCAGTTAAACCATAGATGTATGACTTTAGTCACCCTATTACTATCTGAGGATATCCACACTGCATCTACCCAGTTTTTATTTCACTTGTTTTTTTCACAAGTATTTCACTATCACCACACTTTATAGTTTTTTGTTTTTTATCTATACGTGTCAATTTTGGTTTAACGGAGCACTATAGCATTAGGGATACAAACACGTAATCTTGATGACCTCATAGGAAAGCATTGGGAGGCTATTGTGCATCTGCAGCAAAACAGCACTGCATCAGTCAGCAATTCCTCAAAGGGATGCACTGAATCAATGCATATCTATGGGGAGTGTTGAGTGTCTCCATGCAGAGCATTTAGACACTGAGCGCAGGTGATGCACACTGTGCAGCACTAAGATAGGAAGTATCTCTACTGGCCGTCCGAGTCATTGCACCTAGAGGTGTTACTAGTTCAGAGAAAAGGCAGTGTTTACATTGAAAAGCCTGTAGGGGCAAGTATATTCACATCACTATGGCTCTGGTGACTATACTGTCCATTTGAACTCTGCTCTTTGACCTGGTGCATTCAGAATCAAGGAAACATAAAGAAAGAAGTGCTTTATTTGAATTGGATTATCATATAATTTGCTAAACCGTTAATATAAATTTTACACATAACAAAACATCACAATAACATGTGCGGGGTGTGATTTTCAAAGATTTTAATCAATGTTGTAAATTTCATAAAAGTGACAGTTGTCCTTTAATTTATCAGACCACATATTATATGTTGACATACCAGTAAGGTCCATGGTGATTGGTCCTGGGGCAGCATCACACACCAATGTTAGGCGGGTTACAATAACATTTGGGCCTGTGGGATCTGAAAAGAAGATTTCAGTGAAAAGTATTATCAGTAATAAAATATAGTTCCATGGATAATTTAAGAAGCAAGTAGAGGGTTATAAAGATTAAAAACACACAAAAAAATCACTAAGAATGTAACTACAGTATCCATAAAAATGAGACTAAACTAAACAACTAACTTGGCTAGCACTGCAATGATTGTAAATTTATAATGGCAAATGTCTATTGTACGTGTAACCGTGTCTCTACAGTTGTACAGCATATGACTACTATTATATGTGCAACAATATATCTGTTTGAATGAACTCTCCAAGACACGCTGAAAGGGATCCTATAGTGCCAGGAAAACAAACCTGTTTTCCTGGCACTATAGGCTCCTGGGGTGCCACACTCCCACGGGGCTGAAGGCGCTCAGCGCTGGGTCAGGCTCCGCCCACGCTCTTACCCCGCCGATGTCAGCCAGATGGGGAGACCTAATGCGCATGCGCGGCAATGGCCGCGCACACATTAGACCTCCCCATAGGAAAGCATTATTCAATGCTTCCAAATGGGGAAAACCTGACGCCGGAGGTCCGTGAGGACATCCAGAGTCAGATAATGGACCAAAAGTCAGTTTGGATTCCGGAAGCCTTCTAGTGGTCTGGTAGACAGCCACAGAGGGCAGACTTAGAGCTGCAATGTAAACATTGGAGTTTCTCTAGAACTGCAATGTTTTACATTGCAATACTAAGTGCAAATGGGTCACAGCACCCAGACTACTTCAATTAGCTGAAGTGGTCTGGGTGCCTACAGTGTTCTTTTTAAATGCCAGAATCAGGTCTTTTCTACAATTAATTCAGTATATACACTCTGAAATAGAAAAACATATTATAGAGACTTTCCTTGTCCTAAGCTGTATGTGGATTATCAGTGCCTCTAATTGAAGATCCAGGTTTCACATCTGATTTACAAGCTTCAATTATGGCACATTCATTTCCATGCATGATGTCTGACCATCAAGAATCTATAGATTTTCGGATTACTAGTTTCTGGTGAACTATAGACTAACAATAAGAGCTAAAATGCTTTTGGAAAAAAAACTGCTATACAATGGACACATGTCCAAAACATGCATGTGCAATTTTTTACTTTATGTAATTTCTTATGCAATATCTCTGTTACACAGTATTGTTCAGCCTATGCCAATGCTTTCTGCACATTTTTAAAGCAATTCTGGTCTGATTAGATGGCATATGGTCTGCTCTCATTACACGGCATAGAGGAATAACCTCTGGACTGAAATCCACCGTTTCCCCTACTATTTTGACATATTGAATAGTTAATTTTTACAAAAGGAGAAGTAAATTTATATTTCATGCTGACCGGAGAACTTCCATTTTACTTCCCCTTTTCATACACAGTTTCGGTTACAGTGTTTTCAATATGTTTTCAGTATCATTCCAAACCTATGGGGGATGTAGTTCCTAAAAATGTAAAATTAACTTAAATGTCAAATTGCAGGGAGAAAAGGGCATGTATTTTAATATGTTTATAACTCTGTTTTATTTTTATCAGACAGAATGAGAATGCGCTTGTTGAAATTCCATATAATGTACTGTTTTACAATTTAAATTAATTTAATAGCCTGATGAACTACTCCACATGAGATATGGCCACAGCACAGTTTTGAAAATATTAAGTGCATTCACAAAAATTGTCATTGTTACGCTACAACATGTGGGAGTTGTTGCATTATTACTGTGTAACTTGTAGATGCCGATAAACACAAACTGGAGTGTTTTGCTAGACTAACACACATTCACAGTGTGTATTGTGGGTTACAAAATGCAGGAAAAATAGGTCAAAACATTGCGAAATTAATAGCAAATTTCCAGTATAAAACATGTTTAAATTGGTAAAGTGATATACCTCAGAGAGTCACTAAAATATATAACATTGTATAGGGGGTTGGAAATATTTCAAAAAGTGGACTTCTAAAATGCTTGAATTAGGTTTTGTTTTGAATCGGAGGATTACTGACTATGTGCTTGTATATGTCATATAGTATGGCAAGCAGGAATACTGACTGGCTCCCACAAGTTTACAGAAACCATGTACACACAGTCATAAAATCTGGCATACTTAAATGGAAGCAATCCACAGCGCCAACAATAAGAGAATGGACACAGAAATTAGAAAATATAAGGGTGATGGAGGAACTCCACTACTCATTCACAAATAAATACACCCTATATAAAGAAATTTGGTACCCATGGGTATCATTCCTTAGGAAAAAAAACATAGAACAGATATAAACTGGCCAAAAAAACATACTAAATAAATAAATTTAGCAGTAGGGAGATCATTACCATGAACTTGAAACACCCTCCCAAATACCGATGAGAGAAAACCTGGACTCTAGCGGAAAGGGAAGCATAAAGATGACAATGGAGCTACGACGACCCGAAAGGAACTACCCCTGACACATGACAGGAGCACCTAAATGCACTAGATAGAGGAGGCCAGAGACTAACATTATATGCACATCATGAAAAATAGCCTTCACAAAATCTCTTAGGCATAAGAAAAACAAATCCCCAAGTTCAGGCAGCACTGTTAGGCTTGTAGTTCTCAGTTATAATCGTGTACATAGTTTACGATTATAAACAAAACCCAATAGCATGACACATCCTTATGAGAAACAGTCGGGGACTTAGGTTCTTAGATTCGCCACACCACACCATACCAGAAGATATAACACCACCTCATAGAAGTCAATATCTACTTATACATATACTTCTTGCTTTCAAAAACCAAATCCATTACTCAGATGGAACAACACCCCGTAGTATTGACAAATACATATGGATTGAACTGTTTAGGACGAATATAGCTAAGTAATATATTTGATGGTGAAGGTCAGACCATATTATAGACAAACAATGCTTTACGAGAGTTTGGATAAACAATGTATTGTGATATTCTAGATGACAAAAACTTTGTAATATTTTGGATGAACACTGAGTTGTCATAGCCTAAACAACTGATGTTATGCAATATTTGGGATGAACACTGATATGTAACTTCATGGATGAAAAATGTTCTGTAAGATTTTAAATGACCAATAAAAAAAAAATTAAAAAAAAATCTGGCATACTTGTTTCTAGATCCTCTATAGTTTCCATACCAGTAAGTAGAGCCCCTGCAATGTTCCTTTAAGTGGACTCTAGAGGCGGGAGATGACCTCCATTTTGTATCACATTATATGTGTCATGTTTTCTAAACCAGCTGTTAAAACTGTTGAAAATTTTTTACAAGCACGGTTATTTACTAAAGTGAGAATTGTAGGTAAAGCAAAATAAATTAAAAATACATTTAAAATTGAAGGGCAAAGTAGATGAACTAGGAAAATTCTTCATCAGCTATGCTTCTAGTTCAGGTATTTTGCCTCAAAATTTAAATTTACTTTGAATTCACTTAAAATTTCCAATAATTCTCACTTTAGTAGATAGCCCTGAAAATGTTCACTACTGGTTAAGAGCTAATTATTATTATTATTATTATTTTATTATTTATATAGCGCCAACAAATTCCGTAGCGCTGACAAAGCTAATGTTCACTACTGGTTATAAACTAAATAACTTTGAAGATGTTGCCAAGGGTTCAACAAATATCTTTAAATTACAAAAACACAAATATTGTGAAACCTTCCAGTGCTGCTTACTTAAGTCTATTACAACACTTCCTCCTGACTTTGCCAATTTGTTTACCACATTTGGACTAATACTAGGGCAAATGTCTAATAGCAGGACAATTAGTAGCAACTTTACTTTGGCTTCAATGGTGATTGCTCCACCTGTGGAACAGGTAATCACTACACCACTTCCTTGTGAAAAATAAATACTTAGGTATTAATCCCATCCCTCTTAACCACTAGGGATGTTTTTCTTTTCCATTGCAAAATGGTTAGAGGAACACATGGTTAAAGGGACACTGTAGGCACCCAGACCACTTCAGCTCATTAAAGTAGTGTGGGTGCAAACTCCCATCACCCTTAACCCTAGAGTGGTAATTATTGCAGTTTTTATAGTAATTACCTCTCAGGGTTAACTCCTCCTCTAGTGGGTGCCTACCAGACAGCCACTAGAGGGACGTCCGGTTGCTTAGACAACTTTGTGTATGTGTGTATGGTCGGTCTGTGTGTGGGGGTCAGTCTCTGTGTGTATGGTCAGTCTGTGTGGGGGGGGAGTCTGTGTGTGTATTGGTCAGTCTGTGTGTGTGGAGGGGGCAGTCTGTGTGGAGGGGCAGTCTCTGTGTGTGTGTGTATGGGTCAGTCTGGGTGGGGGGTGGTGGTCAGTCTTTGGGTTTGTATGGGTCAGTCTGTGTAAGTGCTTGAGCTCCAAGAGAGATACCTCTCATCTTGGGACCTCCCCTGTACCCGATGGATAGGCAGTCTTCTCAACCTGCACGGAACTGATTGTGCCACCCCCTCCCTGCAACGGCAAGGTAAGATCAGGGAAAGGGGAATATTGTCAATGATTGAAATAAGTATTTGATCCCCTATCAATCAGCAAGATTTCTGGCTCCGAGGTTGTCAGGGACAAGATTGTAGACCTACACAAGGCTGGAATGGGCAACAAAACCATCGCCAAGCAGCTTGGTGAGTAGGTGACAACAGTTGGTGTGATTATTCGCAAATAGAAGAAACACAAAATAATTGTCAGTCTCCCTCGATCTGGTGCTCCATGCAAGATCTCACCTCGTGGAGTTTCAATGATCATGAGAACGGTAAGGAATCAGCCCAGACCTACACGGGAGGATCTTGTTAATGATCTCAAGGCAGCTGGGACCATGGTCATCAGGAAAACAGTTGGTAACACACTACGCTGTGAAGGACTGAAATCCTGCAGCGCCCATAAGGTCTCCCTGCTCAAGAAAGCACATGTACAGGCCCATCTGAAGTTTACCAATGAACATCTGAATGATTCAGAGGAGAACTGGGTACAAGTGTTGTGGTCAGATGAGACCAAAATCAAGCTCTTTGGCATCAACTCAACTCACCGTGTTTGGAGGAGGAGGAATGCTGCCTATGACCCCAAGGACACCATCCCTATTGTCAAACATGGAGGTAGAAACATTATGCTTTGGGGGTGTTTTTCTGCTAAGGGGACTGGACAACCGCACCATATCAAAGAGACGATGGATGGGGCCATGTACCGTCAAATCTTGGGGGAGAACCTCCTTCCCTCAGCCAGGGCATTGAAAATGGGTTGTGGATGGATATTCCAGCATGACAGTGACCCAAAATACACAGCCAAGGCTACATAGGAGTGGCTCAAGAAGAAGCACATTAAGGTCCCTGAGTGACCTAGCCAGTCTCCAGAACTTAATCCCATAGAAAATCTGTGGAGGGAGCTAAAGGTTTGAGTTGCCAAACATCAGCCTCGAAACCCTAATGACTTGGAGAGGATCTGCGAAGAGGAGTGGAACAAAATCCCTCCTGAGATGTGTGCAAACCTGGTGGCCAACTACAAGAAACGTATGACCTCTGTGATTGCCAACAAGGGTTTTGCCACCAAGTACTAAGTCGAAACAATTTATAACTTTTTTGACATGCGTTTTTCTGGATACACCACTGAAAAGCATAGAACCTAATACATTTCTTTAAAAAATCTGCAATGTTTCACAGATTATAACCAGTTTAATTAAGGAAGATGGCTACCTAATGCCACTGGTCCATCTCCCAGCAATGACTTCTTGTACTTGGCCAAACTTTCATCATCCTTGTCAAGTTCTTGAATTTCCTGCAGTGATTTCTGTGGTGGAGGTTTGTAATTCAGCTTTCCTTCCACCTCATCTTCATCCTCGATATCGTGAGCGACTGGTTGTTCTTCTGTCATTTTTATCTGGAAAACAAATGTAAATAAAGTATGATATATATACGTATATGGTTTGTGACATTTGTCAAATGTCTGCCTTAGCAAACCTATTCCTGACTGTAACCACTTTTTTTATTTTTCAAGGTATGTATTTGTTGTAACTTAACAACTTGTGGCATATCACCTACATATATAGACATATATGCACAAAAAAAGTACTATAGATTGAAATTGATAATATCTTTAATAAAAATTAATATTTATTGTATATTATTCAAAAAATATGTCACAAAAAATGAAAATAAATCACAGGCAGCAAAAATGGGAAAAGGGGCAACTCACCAACAGCAAGTTAAAGGGATCCACCAGTCTCCTAAAGAAATCTACTTAACCTTGTTACACCCAATAGCTGCTAATAAGACAACCAGTCCTGTTACCTGTTTGCTTAGCTCAGTGAAGCTAAACTCAAGCGTAAAACCAGAACAATGAGTGAGCGCTAAATAACACAACTTAGCAGCAACCCTAAAAGGAAATCCCTCAAAAACCCTTAGAATAAAACACAAAGAATACAAGGAAAGGGCTGCGCTTAGATAAAACTTTAAAAGATATTGAAAGTCCAGATAAAATCAATGGATAAAAAAGGAAGAACGTCTTATCTGGCAATGTCCGTAGTGCTTAGTCCGAAACAATAATCTTGCTTTCTATCTTCCTTATAAGCCGTCTCGTATGCAAGAGATAAAAACAAATACAGAACCACAATGGTGTAGTATATCTTGACGAAAAGGAAATTAAAATATGAAACTTGATTGCAAACTTACATTTCCAAGAGCTAGAACCTGCTCTGGTATAGGGGGCGTGCAGCGGTTTAGATCCCCGCTTATGGGATATGGAATGATTATCCTTCACGTGCTTCCTCCTTCCGTAGTGTGGGAGATACTCAAATAAAAAGAGACAACCAATAGTGTTCTCTGCATAAAACTTAAAATAAAATATAAAATAAAAGTGGATACTCACAAGACAGGAGCAGGTCAACTGCTCCTGATATTTCGCATTGGTGGAATAATCCCCACCTAGGATTGCTTGGAGTCCAGCGAATAATGCCAGGTAATAGTGATAAATATATATTTAATCCCCACCTAGGATTGCTTGGAGTCCAGCGAATAATGCCAGGTAATAGTGATAAATATGTATTTATCACTATTACCTGGCATTTTTCGCTGGACTCCAAGCAATCCTAGGTGGGGATTATTCCACCAACGCGAATAATGCCAGGTAATAGTGATGTGGGTGGGGGCCATAAGGAGAATGGGGGGGGGGACCTATTGCCCCCCCCGGCTCCCCCCCTGGGCGGTGGGTGGGGGCCATAGTGAGAATGAGGGGGGGGACCTACTGCCCCTCCTGCCTTCACTATGGGCGGTGTAGCCATAGTCAAGTCTCTCATCTTTCACGGGCGGGTGGGGGCCATAATGAGAATGGGGGGGACCTACTGCCCCCCCCGGCCCCCACCCCTGGGCGGCGGGTGGGGGCCATAATGAGAAAGGGGGGGGGACCTACTGCCACCCCCACCCCTGGGCGGCGGCCATGAAGATAATGAGGGGGGGACCTACTGTCCTCCCCCCCCACCCCTGGGCGGCGGGTGGGGGCCCTAAGTCAATTACCCCCCCCACACCAAGGTGACTAGGTGTCCCCAAGCCCCTAGTCACCCACCCCACACCCAAAAAAAAAAGTCCCTACCTACCCCCCCTCACCCTAAAAAATAGTGAGGGGGATAAAATAACTAACCTGTAAAATAAAATTAAACTTACCATTCGACGCCTTCTTTTTTCTCAAATCTTCTTTTTTCAGCCCCAAAAAAGGCCAAATAAAAAAACCATCATAACCGTCGAATTGAAAATAAAATAAAAATCCCGAAAGTGCAAAACCCTCAGCCAAGAAAAAAATAATCCATCTTCACCCATGGAGGGTCTGCCAAGAGGCCATTCAAGAGAGCGTGGGGAAGGCTTATGCTTCCTGCCCCTACTTCACTAGCTAAGAACACTCTGATTGGTGGGTTTAAGCCAATCAGAGGTAGCTCTCTTGTCATTTATACTTCAGCCGCGGGAAAATTCAAGAACTTTCCACGCCAAAATTGGGTTAGTCAGCACTGATCTTGGGGACGGTTATGATGGTTTTTTTATTTGGCCTTTTTTGGGACTGAAAAAAGAAGATTTGAGAAAAAAGAAGACGTCGAATGGTAAGTTTAATTTTATTTTACAGGTTAGTTATTTTATCCCCCCCCTCACTATTTTTTAGGGTGAGGGGGGTAGGTAGGGACTTGTTTTTTTTTGGGTGGGGGGTGGGTGACTAGGGGCTTGGGGACCCCTAGTCACCTTGGGGGGGGGCAATTGACTTAGGGCCCCCACCCGCCACCCAGGGGTGGGGGCCGGAGGGGGGGAGGACAGTAGGTCCCCCCCCTCATTATCTTCATGGCCCCCACCCGCCGCCCAGGGGTGGGGGCCGGGGGGGGACAGTAGGTCCCCCCCCATTCTCATTATGGCCCCCACCCGCCGCCCAGGGGTGGGGGCCGGGGGGGGCAGTAGGTCCCCCCCATTCTCATTATGGCCCCCACCCGCCGCCCAGGGGTGGGGGCCGGGGGGGCAGTAGGTCCCCCCCCCTCATTCTCACTATGGCCCCCCACCCGCCGCCCAGTGAAAGTCCCTGCTGGGACTGAAATGTTGATCTTTTAATGGATACTTAATAAATTGTTAATTTTAATTCTTGAAAATCCGTGAGTGCTGATCACTATCTGAATTTATATATATATATATATATAGTGGATGCAGAATGTGTGTGTAGTGGATGCACTGTATGTAGTGGATGTAGTGTGTAGGAAGGTGATAGTATGAGGGGCAGTCTGTAGGAAGGTGATAGTGTAGGGGAACAGGGTGTAGGAAGGTGAGAGTGTGGGGGCAGGGTGTGGAGATGACAGTGTGGGGGAGGTGTGCAGAAAAGTGACAGTGTTGGGGGGCAGTGTGTAGGAAGGTGACAGTGTGGGGGCAGGGGTGTGGGGATGACAGTGGGGGCAGGGTGTAGGAAGGTAACAGTGTGGAGGCAGTGTGGGGCAGGGGTGTAGGAAGGTGACAGTGTAGGGTGTGTGGACAGTGTGGGGGGTAGTATGTAGGAAGGTGACAGTGTGGGGGGCAGGGTGGGGGGGTGACAGTATGGGGTAGTGGTGAGTAGGAAGGTGACAGCATGGGGAGCAGTGTGTAGGAAGGTGACAGTGTAGGGGGCAGTGTGTAGGAAGGTAACAGTGTGGGGGTAGGTGTAGGTAGGTGTATCACTGTGGGTTGCAGGCTTTGGGGATGACAGTGTGGAAGGGGGGCAGGGTGTAGTTAGGTGACAGTGTGGGGGGCAGGGTTTAGGGGTGAGCAGGGTTTGGGGGTGACAGTGTTGGTGGCAGGGTTTGGGGGTGACAGTGTGGGGGGCAGGGTGTAGGAAGGTGACAGAGGGGTGTGAGGAATTAATGGGGCTTATCTCACCAACCCTGCACTCTTACTGAAGGTCAGGACATTTCCCTGGTGGTCGAGTGGCACAGCAGCCTGGGTTTTAGAGAGGGGCCCATGAGTTTCCAGGGGAATGTAAATCAGCAGCAGCTCCTCTCACGACCAGCGAGAGCATTGCCACGGGTTGCCATGGCAACTCTCCGGCACGCATTGCATGCAGCGAAGAGCGTTGCCATAGAAACCCATGGCAAGGCTCTCGCAGGTCGCGAGAGGAGCTGCTGCTGATTTATGTTCCCTATGGAGACTCATGGTCCCCGCAAATAGGTGGCCCGGGTCCCTCACACCAGACACAGGGGTGGCAAAATACCACCCCTGTCTTAAGTGAACCCCCTTACTGAATGGTACCCGGTGGCGGGGCTACCCCCTTAGTACGCCACTGATTGTACCCAAGAACTTTTGCACAGGTTTGCTTCTATATCCATCTATCTTTCTGTCTGTCTATCTATCTATCTATCTATCTATCTATCTATCTATCTATCTATCTATCATCTATCTATCTATCTATCATCTATCTATCTTTGTTAGTACATACATTGCTGTTGCATTCTTGGGGATCTTAAATATATATATATATATATATATATATATACTCACTCACTTTTGACCACCTAGATAAATAAATGTTCTCAAGTTGGATCAGGTGCAAACTGTGATAGATTCCACAAAACCAAATTCTACATTTTCTTTGTAATGCATAGTAGACATGTGCAAAAATATGTTTTAAGTGATGTTTTAAGAATTCCTGGTAACGTATTTACGCCAAATCATTTTACATGGAGCCTACAGGTGGAATTGATTCAGAATAGATTTACTAACTATTGGCAATGTTCTAGAGATTTTAATAGCAAGATTTTTAAAGTGAATCTATGATTTCACTTGTGTGCATTACACATGTTACTATATAGCATGCTCAGACATTGTGTAAACATAAACACTAAGAGATACAATAAGCTTTTCTATAGCTATTGCAGCTCAGTTTTTGGCATTAAAGATTCATGCCTGTTAGCTTGGGATAATCTGCAAAAATCGCATTAAAGGTTAATGAACGTCAGCCACATGTCAGATTACTAGTTACATATGTTTTAATGTAAACACAGACAACTAGACAAAACATGGCTGGTTAGAAGTACAGCTCAATAATAATAGCCCATAGCCATGGAACACTGAGTGGGGACATGTGAGTGAAACTCTTCTGGTTAGTAGGGGTCTTGGAAATGTTAATGCTTTATAAACTTTAGCTTGAGATGTCTCTTTAAACCACATGACTAAAGCACAGTCCATGAACAAAACTTTAAAGGACCACTATAGTGCCAGGAAAACATACTCGTTTTCCTGGCACTAGAGGGCCCTGAGGGTGCCCCCACCCCCAGGGACCCCCTCCCGCCGGGCTGGATGGCGAGGAAGGGGTTAAAATCTTACCTTTTCTCCAGAGCCGGGCAGGGAGCTCTCCTCCTCCTCTCTGCCTCCGATCCTCCTCTTCTGCTGAATGTGCATGCGCGGCAGGAGCTGCTCACGCATTCAGCCAGTCTCATAGGAAAGTATTCATAATGCTTTCCTATGGACGCTTGCGTCTTCTCACTGTGATTTTCACTGTGAGAAGCACGCAAGCGCCTCTAGCGGCTGTCAATGAGAGGCTTTAGAGGCTGGATTAACCCATTTATAAACATAGCAGTTTCTCTGAAACTGCTATGTTTATTAAAAAAAGGGTTAATCCTAGCTGGACCTTGCACCCAGACCACTTCATTAAGCTGAAGTGGTCTGGGTGCCTAGAGTGGTCCTTTAAGCAAGAATTTATAATAAATTAGTCTATTCACTTGCAATGGTCTTGATCGTACAACATATAGTTTGAATTTTAAATTCTAATGGAGAATATGTTGACCTACTATGTAGAGAATTTCACTTGCATGGATTGAAGAGTTCTAAATTATAAAATGGTGCTATTAATTACAAATTAAAGGACCACTATAGTGCCAGGAAAACATACTCGTTTTCCTGGCACTATAGTGCCCTGAGGGTGCCCCCACCCTCAGGGACCCCCTCCCGCCCGGCTCTGGAAGGGGAAAGGGGTAAAAACTTACCTTTTTCCAGCGCTGGGCGGAGAGCTCTCCTCCTCCTCTCCGCCTCCGTTACGCCCCGCCGGCTGAATGCGCACGCGCGGCAAGAGCTGCGCGCGCATTCAGCCGGTCTCATAGGAAAGCATTTACAATGCTTTCCTATGGACGCTGGCGTGCTCTCACTGTGAAAATCACAGTGAGAAGCACGCAAGCGCCTCTAGTGGCCGTCAATGAGACAGCCACTAGAGGCTTTGGGGGAAGGCTTAACCCATTCATAATTATAGCAGTTTCTCTGAAACTGCTATAATTATGAAAAAATGGGTTAAGCCTAGAAGGACCTGGCACCCAGACCACTTCATTAAGCTGAAGTGGTCTGGGTGCCTAGAGTGGTCCTTTAAAGGGAAACTGTAGACACTATAACTACTTACTGAACTGTTATAGTACCTAGAGTACAATACCTCCATACAGCCATAACATTATTAAGCAGGATTACTTAAACCCACAGCTGGCCTCTACTGAAGGATTGACTAAGGCATAGATTACACACTTCCTTCTAGCCATACCAAGTTATACCAACAATGGTACTGTGATATGCTGAAACCAGTCAGCTGACAATACAATACAATATGTAACCAATGTGTGTGTGTAATTACATTGTTAAACATTGCATCGAGAAGGAAGCAAAGATTATTATCTTAACAAATTAATCAGTATACTGGAAAGTACACTATATTACTATATATACATAAAATTGACAGTTATATTTAGGGTTTATGTAAGAGTGACTTTCTTTTTCCCTGACAATAATACACTTTGTTGCACAATATAGAAACCTAGTTTTGGTAAAGTCAAGATTTGTACAATTGTGCCTGTTTTGAGTGATCCTGAAATTTTGAAAACAAAGTTAACTGCTTTGGATATTTAGTAATAGAACAGAATAAAAATATATGATACCAGACACTATTTTAACACTAACCGCTCCACCATAACAACTTAAACTTCTTTGACAATGTTCACTAAAATAATACACTGGGGCTGCTTCACTGTAAAGGGTTGTTGTAAACCTTTTTAACATATCTTTTATTTTAAGTAGGAATGCCCGATTGGACATTAAATTAAAACCTGGAAAAGAAGGTTTAAACTTACTTGTAATCTAGCACCAGGCGAAGTGTCTGGTGCTGATCTACACTGTCTGTCTGACATCATTGGTGGCCTTACGTGGTTGAATCAAAGGCTTCTAATAGCAAAGCATTTGATTGGATCTTTTGCCGGCTCAGAGTGCATAATCACACTCTGAGCCAGTGGGGGGATAGAGTGGGGAACAAGAAGTGAAGGGAAGGAGGTAGGGACAAATAACTGAGGGCATAGGGAGGTTGGTGGATTCCAGTCAGGGAGACACAAGAAGATTTTAATGTCTGTTGCCAGCGCAATATGCATGCTGATGTTAAATATATAAAGATTTGACAGAGTTCTAGGCTGCCTAAGTCATGTTTGCTCGGCTTGTAACTAGCCTGCAGCACAAAATGTAATAATATATATCTGAATGTGCAGTGTTTCAAACACTATATATGTCACCTCTGTCCACTCTGTTGGCCTTTTCACACATTCTTGGCCAATGATCTTCTGATATGATTAGCTCTGTCTTCATTTTCTGTTTGAAAATAAAGGAACCATAATTGGTCACTTGAAGGTCTTCATATATGCTACTCTGTGGTAACTTAGAATACAGTTAGGCCTCCGCAACATCAATAGTAACCTAAATAGTAATCCTGAGGTTGCCAATGTCTAGAGAGTGGGAAAGCCAGCATATGGGCATGCCTATGACTTCTTCACAAACCCTGGCAATGCACATAGATTTGACTTAATGGAGTGAGTTCATTGTGAAGAGAACATATATCAGATTGACGAGCTGCAAGGTAGAAATTCAAGGTTGCTAAGCTTATATATGAATTTAAATCCCCTGGAATCTCTTTGTGCAACTGCAAATGTGTTTCTAAAAGTTATTGTGCTGAACTTAATATAGAGTGTTTCTGATATGCGGATTTCCAGAGAAAAGACCTGGGCCGGTGGAACAGGTGCTTAATATCTGGACTACCCTGCTGAATTTAGGATAGATAATGTATTTGTAACTGATATTAGAGTATGTAAAGGAGTGAACAGCCCACTAACTTTTAAACTAAAGGGTTATAGCCATTATATTATATTATATATACTTGCATAGTATCATATATTATTCCATTCTGCAAAAAATCAAAAGCATACCTCGAGGTAGTCCCTATTTGGGGCTCCTGCATTACTGACCTGAGTTTGTCCTCTGATGACCTCCTTCTGGTGTCACCAGAGAACTATACCCATTAAATGCAGTGACAGTAAATCATTAGACACACTTAGGATTTACTTACAGTTTACCAGTATTTACCCCTAGACAGGATTGAAATACTACTTAGGACTTGTTCAGTCTCAATGGCCCTGATGCAGTAGTAAAGTAAACAGTATAGGTGGAGTTGAGTTTACAATTGACAGGTTCATAGATTTTTTTTTCTAACTCAGTGTTTAGCAAATATGGCATGTTATCAAAATACTCACTCATAACCATTTGAAAAGGAAAAAAATAAGAAAAAAACAAACAAACAGAGGGAAGATTTATTCTATGGAAGGAAGATACAATTTTTATAAGATTAGATAATGCTTGGGTATAAAATATACAGGGTTATTCACTAAAGTGAGAACTCCAGGTGAATTCCAAGTGAATTTCAAACTTCAGTTCAAAATAGCAGTCAGGCTACTTTGGCCTTAAATTTTAAATTCACGTTAAATTGTCACTTTAGTAAATAACCCTGATATTGTCTGTTCAGGCATTCAAGGCAGTCGTTTGAGTAATACCTCAACCCAAGCTTAAATTGAAAAAGTCACCACCCCCTGGTTAAGAGCCATACTTTCTTCCGTTATATTACACAGAGTCTGTAATACCATAAAAGGCATTGCTAAAGCAGACATACCTTACCGTGCTCTGCCTGCTACTAAACAAAAAAGCAATCGGGTCTGCTCTGAAATGATGTCATCAAAGCTTACCGCACTTGTCTCTGTTTCCGTGGTACATCAGAATTCTTTGAATAGATTTAGATTCTTAATTCATTTTCTAAGCATGTTGAGAAGTCATTGAGATGTCTCTCTTGTTTCAATATATTGGCCTATAGGCTTGCATGGTTGGTTAATTCATTAAACAAATTCTACATAATGGGAACATCATTTTTGTTTGATGCATCGTGGTGCATCCTGGCAAAGTGGAATTTTGGGGAAAGTTTCTATAGTACCAGAACATGGGGTGTTTTGTAAAACATGCAGAATTAATAAATGGCATATAAACACTAAAAAGACACTTTGCTGTTGGACAGTAACAATATGATTTTGTATATTCACTAAACATAAACCGCGGTTAACTGAAAACTGAATTGCAAAATTTGGGCTAGAATTTCCTATTTTTGTCTAAATTTTGCAACACGGTTTTTAATTCATTATAATTCAAAGTAATTTTCAAATTTAAGGCCAGAGTAGCTGAACTGAAAACATAACTGACTTAGAGATTCTTTCCAGTTAAGCTATTTTGACCTTAAATTTGAAATTCACTTCAAATTCACTTTAAATGCTCACTTTACCAAATAACCATGCTAGTAAACAGACCTCTTAGTAGTATAGCCTACTAAGATAGAGCACATATTTCAGTATTATTTAATGGGTCCCTAGACACCTTTATGAATATTGTAATAAAATATTCCAAGGCAATGGACCAGTAGATTGAAAATAAAGTTGGGGTGGCACAAGTACTTGCTTCCAGGTTCATTCTATATAAACAATTAAACTGTATAATTAAAGGTTGATGAAGTAAGTTATATGTATACATGTGATTGTTATATGCACAGTTAGGAAGGTTATTCTTTAAAAAAATGACACTCTGGACCCCTAAACCTCTTTAGCTTGGTGATAATCTTTATGTGTGAAGAGTTTGTCCTCTTCTGTTCATTATACAAAAAGTACAGATTTCAATAAAGCTTTTGCAGTGGAGCTAAACTCAAAAGGACCTGCCTTGCAAAGATTTCTCATTGAGCTGCATTGGAATGTCTGTAATTGGACAGCCACAGAAAGTCTGGGCAGGGTTAGAAGGGGAGGGTTTGCAAAGGCAGCAGACAAGACTGTAGTTTTTGAAAGCTATTTTCAGATGCACCTTCAATAAAAAACTAAATAAATGCATGGAAGGTTACTAAGCAGTGATTTTTTAATAAATATTTTTTATTTTGGAATTGGAGTGTTCCTTTAAAAAGGCACTAAGAAAAATTGGCAAGGATATTGCAAATGTTAGAATGAAATAACTGTTTGAAAAAATAAACAATAGTGTTAAAAAATTTCCCACAAGCTCTGTACATTTCACAGATTAGTGCATGGGTCGTCAACCTGGTCCCTACCGCCCACTAGTGGGCGTTTCAGGATTCCAGGTGGGCGGTAGGGATTTCGGCGGCTAAATCCACTTTTTGAGAGGATTTCTCTTTTTTAGACTGGGCGGGTGCGGGCGGCTTGGGGGCACAAGATTTCAGTGACCGGCAGGAGGGAAGCGCTCCCTCCTGCCAGGCCACCTTCTGGACCCCCCGACGCGGCTGAGTTCTAATTCGAGGCGGCGAGGGAGCTCTAACCTCTCTGCTTTTCTCCCTCGCGCGATGTTTGCTGATGCCGGGGGAGCTGGAATATGACATCATATTCCGGCTCCTGGCATCAGTAGACAGCCCGCGATGGAGCAGAGCAGAGAGGTTAGAGCTCCCTCGCTGCCTCGGATTAGAACTCTGCCGCATGCCGAAGTGAAGCCCCACTGGACCCCAGGGACAGATCCACACCAGCTCTCCAGGTTGGGAGGTTGGGTGGACATTTAATATTAATAATTTGTGTGTCGGTAAGTGTATTTGTGAGTGTGTATGTGTGTGTGTCTGTAAGTATATGTGTGTGTGTCTGTAAGTGTATGTGTGAGTGTATGTTTGTTTGTGTGTATGTTTCTCTGTGAGTGTGTGTGTCTGTAAGTGTATGTGTGTGTGTGTCTGTAAGTGTATGTGTGTGTGTGTTTGTCTGTGAGTGTGTGTGTGTCTGTAAGTGTATGTGTGTATGTGTGTGTGTCTGTAAGTATATGTGTGTATGTGTGAGTGTGTGTATGTTTGTCTGTGTGTATGTGTTTCTTTGTGAGAGTGTGTGTCTGTAAGTGTATGTGTGAGTGTGTGTATGTGTTTGTCTGTGAGCAGAGCATTTGTAGAATAGAAGAAAGAAGGAGCAGAGTATTTGTAGAATAGGAGAAAGAAAGAGCAGAGTACTTGTAAAAAGGAGAAAGAAGGAGCAGAGTACTTGTAGAACAGGAGAAAGAAGGCGCAGAGTACTTGTAAAAAGGAGAAAGAAGGAAAAGGAGAGAATTGTTGTTGGCTAATAATAGTAAGTTGGCTACCTAGCTCAGCCTTCCTACTGAGCATTGCTATAAGGAAGGTTAAAAAAATAGAAAAAAAGGGGGGGGAAAAGGTGGGGAGGGGAATTGAGAAGGGAGAGGAGGGGAGCTGATGCACAGATGAGAAATTATATTATGAGCAAACAGAGAAATCATCTGAATATCACCGAAAGAGGAGGCCTTTGTTTGTTCCTTACGAAAATCGAACCAGATATCAAATATTTAGTCTCGCAGCATCAACCTCAAGGACGCTGAAGAGCGTGGGGACGCTGAACAGCAGGGCTGCTTACTGTGCAGCCATGAGCCAGTAAGCCTCTCCAGTGACTATCTAAGGAGTGGCCACTTGGAGTTGTCCCTAGGGGCAATGTTTACATGAAAATGCCTAAAGAGAGCTATTAAACTCACCAGTACAACTACATTAAGCTGTAGTTGTTCTGGTGACTATAGTGTCCCTTTAAGTCACAATTCACTGTTTAGTGAATAACCCCTACATAGACGCCTACGAACCTTTTAATAATAATTTAAATTTCTATTCTAGAGGTTAGGATTTCTACTAGCATGCAGACAGAACTTATGATACCCATCAAATAGAATAATTTAAATTAAACGCCCCACCATGGAGTATAAATATTTTACTGTCTGTCGTTTACACAATTCATTACTAACTTAAAATATTCTTTTGTGCTTGGCAGTAGATGCTGCTCACAATGAAACCATCTTGTGACTTAACATAATGGAAAAAAGTCTTGTAAACAGTCTAAAATCACCGCAGGCAATCTTAAATGAGATTGTATCTGGGTTGGCTAAGAGAACATGCATGCCATGCAAGCTCTGCCACGTGAATTGTGACTTTGTTTGAGTGTTTGAATCTGGTATTTAGCTAGAGATCATCCTATTAGTGGACCATGAACATATGGGATTTGACGAGAATTACCCAATGTAGCCTTAGCATCCACACAGCATGTCCTGCTGAGAAATGTGCAGAGAAAAAGCTACAGAGTCATTCCTCAGTATAAGACTAAATCGACTGGCTGCAGTCAGTGGCTATAATTAGACATTTCATATGGATTTTATCACAATCAGACTTTGCCTGTTCCAAGTGAAATAAAATGAAATTCAGAACATTTAAAATATATTTTTCTTTCTTTTTTTTTTTTAGCACATATGTTCTGCTTTATGTTCTAATATTACACAATCTTCTGTTACATCTACAGTTTCAGCAAAAAAAAAACACCAAAGAGGAAGAAATAAAGTAGAACGGTCCTAAAATAAATCAAAAGGCAATGTGCATCCTGATTGAATTTAATACCCTTGCAGTGAATTCTGGAATCCTGCCAGGTCTTAAGGATTTTGCTAAATTACATACTACTAGCTTGTTGGTGCTGTGTATCTTTCAAAAAATGGTGCCTAGATTATTGGATTTACTTTTTGGCAAATTATGAGATATCCTTTATATATTAAGCTGAGCTGTTAGCCTGTTAAGTTGTAGAGTAAAAGGATTTTTAATAAGATACTTTATGAAATACTTTATTCTTGGTTTGGGAAGTTCTAGATTCTGTAAATAACAAACAATTTGTTATTTTACATGCAAAGCATGTATGTCTCATGTTTTATTGAATGGACTTCTTGAATCTTTTCCACCAGTAGTTGGTTCTTGAAAAATATAGGCCATCTCATTGTAAAAATATTAACCTTACTGACTAAATGTTGGAGGTTAGACTTGTACAATCCCTTTTCAAATGCAAAGAATGAGTCGAATTTCTGCTAATCTAGGCCCGAATGAATCAATCCATTTTGTAAATCCTGAACATTTGTTCATTCCTGAATTTAACAGGAATTTGAATTGATATTTGCAGGTAATACCTGTGAAATAATGACTTTTGGTAGTGACATTAGCCAGTAGCGATACTGTCTTCTCAACTATCTATGTTAATTTAAGGAGTTTATTCTATACCATGCATTGTTTCATGTGAAATGCATAGTTAGTAAGGCATTTAAAAATGTTTCTGATTCCTGCCGCCTCCTCCCTGTTGCAGACACAGGAAATGCTGTCTGTAATCCAAAGTGCATCACTGCACACCCATTGCGTCTAACGGTTTGGTGCACGGTCTCAATGCATAGTATTGCCTGATGCTCAATTAATTAAAAAAAAGTTTATGCAGTTGCCCATGGGTTCTCAGTATTAGAATATACAGTATGTATGGTTAATCAATATTGCATGACATGTGGGATTGGCATTTTGTTAAGGCCAATAGCTGTGGTTTAACTCCAGATCTGCTGGATGGCTAAGGAGATGAGAAAGTACCCCTTAGGTGACTGTCGGGAGGGAGTGCTATCTCTTCGCTACTCCCTTCTCCATGTGCTATATGTACTTTTCTCTGACTATGGTTTCATTGCGATCCAAGAGCACATCAGTCTCATGGTGTATAGGTGGGGTTACAACATAAAGACGCTCCCTTTGGGTTCAAACCCCAGATGCTTTGAAATCTAGCAATGCCTTTGACACATTGTATTACGTAAAGCTATATAGGAGCACCGATATTAATCCGGAGATAAAAAATATAATTTCGTATTATGCAAAGCTTGGGAGGGGCTCTTAATATTATGTGAATCAAGCTATACACACTTGTTACTCTGAGAATTTAGCTGCACGCTCTAAGCATTATGTAAAGCTACTACAAGTATTATGTGAAGCTAGCTAGAAGCATACCGTTTGAGTTGAAGCTAGCTATGAGCACACAGCATCCATTTAGGTATCTAGAAATAATGGGCAGAGTGTTTGGGAAGCTAGATTATGGAATTTTTTACTCATTATGTTAATTTACGTTTTAATGATATGTAGAACTCAGTATTATGAAAAATTATAAATGAATGTTATTTGAAGCTAGCTGCTAACACTCAGGATTGTGCTAAGCTAGCCAAGACCATTCATTTCCATTTCTATGAACATGCAGTATAGTTAGATGCTAGCTATGATCAATCACTATTATCTGACACTAATTATCAGCAATTAATGTTATATTAAGCTATTATACTCGGTATAATGTGAAGTTAGTTAAGAACATTCAATATTATATGATGCTAGCTACACTCACTCAGGGTTTTTCATTAAAGAGTTAATTGGCAGCAATTCAAAGTGAATTCTAAGTGAATTTCAAAATTTAGTCCGCAGTATCTGAACTGGAAATCATTTTTTAATCTGGCTATTTTAGACTTAAATTTGAAATTCACATTTATTGAATAACCCTGTCAGTATTATTTGAAGCTAGCTATAAGCACGCATCCTTGAAGTTAGCAGGAAAAATTCAGCATAGTTTTTTAAAATTTAGACTTTATATTTTACACCTTTTGTGTTACATTAAGCCCTGAATGTACAAATCTAAAACAAATCTTTCTTTAATCAATTTTGCATTGAGGTTCGATTTATTTCGTCCTGTTGATGGAATGCTGTTTAGATGGCAAGTCCCTCAAAATGGTGTTTAACTATCAAGCCGTGTGTGAGGTCAGGTTTCCCCACTGTGTATGATGATGGCCGTGTTCTACTCTAGTGACTAATTTCATATATTCCCATTTAACAACACAAAACTTGCTATAACAGAACAAATGCATGAATAAATCAATCAGTATGAATAACATTACATTAGTTTAAAAAGAAAAACCTTCCACAGTGAATACATTTATATGACTGTATGTTCGTTGAGTCGAATCCTCATCTTACTATTGTTCCTGTAACAGTTTGTAACCGTCTCACTTATTGTTAAATTTCCCCCTTTTACAATAACGTAAAGCCCTGCGGAATAAGTTGGCACAATATAAGTACAAATAAAAGTAATAATATTATATATATATATTTAAAGTTACTTACCAAGTTCTAGCCAAAGTTGTCCTCTGTTGTCTAAACCGTTTACTAATCTTTTTACTGTGTCTGTCAGTTGAAAAAAGGAAGGAAATTGTTTAAGCAAACAGCCCTTCTCTCTGCAAACCACTTAAACAGGAAGTTCTGCTACCAGTTTCGCATAAAGAATTTCAACAGCCTTATCTCCGGTTTAAGATGTAATGACAGATATATGATAGTGATACACTGTATACCAATACAATGATCACCATTAAGATTAACCCTTTGTACAACATTGTATGGCTCAGCCCTCTCATTAATCACTACTGATAGCATAGACAAGACCGTGAGAATGAGGACAGTGTATGTTTAATAATAACTTGTCATGGCTATACATTCAGGGACATTGAGGATTATAAATATATTCGTTCCCATGTGAAATGTAGTGCAATTGTTTTATGCACTTACCATCTCAGCTTGTGCAAAAATTGGCTCCACTCAAAAATAGGCAGCAGCGTTTTAACTATCCCAAAATAGAAAAGTTATCAAACTACTGTTTGGATCATTTTTATTTTGGGAATACGCGCTGAAGGATATGATAAATTCTAGTGGTTTTAATGGTAATTGCTCCACATTTAAAATACCACATGTTTTGCTTTGATAAATTTAATAATATACCTCAATAGTCTACTATTTGTGATTGCATGGATTGCTAAAAATTGTACAATGGCTAATATGAAAGCAAAGTACAGTTTTAACACCTTAATGACGGAGGCAATTGTACAACTTCTAATCAAAACCAAACCTGGATATTAAGCTACATGTCTGTTCAACCATAATATACCTCTTTCATATTAAGTACACCCACACAATGGCGTACATATAGGGCTCATAATGTCCAGTCATTTTTAGTAGCCACTTAGTCACAAGCCCTGGCCAAAGTTAGATTTCATATTTGTTTTTGCATTTTTCACACAAAAACTATACTTTCACTGATATTATCGTTGTGATAAGGTTTACTGTTTTAAAATATTTGTGTTCAGTAAAGTCTCCCGAGTACAACAGTAGCACCCATGTACAGGTTTTATGGTGTTTTGGAAAGTTACAGAGTTAAATATAGGGCTTGCGAATTTAATTCTCTGGACTTTCTGCCTGGGTTGTCAGGCAGGACCCTCAGATTGTAATAAATAACATTACATGAATATGTAAAAAGATTACATAAATATACGTGTATATATATATATATATATATATATATTCTATGTGCATATTTATGTAATTATTTATGTAATTTTTATATAAATATATATATTTTTGAGGTTTTGATAATTTTTTTTTTTTATATTTTTGGAGATAACATTACCATACATTTTAAATCTACACTTATTTAAGTAATGCTGATCCGTAGGGATCTATTCACTTTTCAACTGACGGTTAAGGGAAGTCATATGGATAAAGTTGTTTCAGCCCCATTAGAGATGTTTTTTGTTAAGGCTGTACTCCAGCTATTCAGGGAGTATGGCCTTATTTACTTAAGACATCTTAAACTGATCAGAAACTTATTTTTCATATTGACTGGCTGTTAAAGGGTCACTCCATTGACTCATTCTTTTTTTTTTAATGCGTTATATAGAGAGTGTACATTAAATATGCAAAATCAGTAAACTATAGACAATAATAAAAACCAAAATGTAAAATACACTGATATTTGAAGTTGCTGCAAATTTCTAGTCTATTATAGTCTGTGCAAGTCAGATGACATTAAAATCCCACACAAAAACACACTAAAGCCAATATCCAGCCAAACACACACAACAGCCCCTATCACCCTAAACACACACCACAGCCCCATCCACACATGAACCCACACGCCTGCAACCACACAGGCAGCACCTTTGCTATACACACAATCCTACAAGTAGCATCTCTCCCACACATACACAACACCACAAGCAGTGACCCACCAACACGCAACATCACAAGCAGCAGCCCCACAAACATACAGCATGATTATCAGCCTTCCCACACACAAACCCAACACGACAAGCAGACTACACACACCCTTACCCTGCCTTGTCCAATTTATCATTCAACCACCCACCTAGTCACATTCACACATTCAATTGAATACCCAAAACTGGTCGCATTCACCCATCCAATCTAATACCCTAAACTTATATATATATATATATGAAGGGATGGGGGTGCATTAAGGAAAATGATCTTGTGGCAGCAAGGATAGTAATTTAGGCCATGATCCTATTCCTTGCTCATGTATCCCAAGTGTGCCAAGTTTGGCAAGACAGTCCCGGTTTTCAGGTACTATCCCGCCATCCTGACTTAGCGGGACACCAGGAACCTGTCCCCATCAAGCATAGCTCAAACAGAGCTCCCTGCATGGTCTGCTGGCAGAGGGCTGGCTGGCCAGCCAACCAGCCTATCTGAGTGCATGAACATCAGGCTGCCCTGTCAATTCTAATTGGGATGCCCTCTTTTCACCTCTCCCACCAGAGTCGCAGAAGCTGGAGTTGAGAGGTATGCTCATGCACACTCAGATCATCAATCAACATAAGGCCAGATTCCCATCACATTCCAGTACACGTAGGATTGCACTAGAGCAGTTAGCAAACAAAATAAAAAGTAACACATTGAAACAGTATTAACCCTACTTTATTTGTATAATGATAGAGCCAAATACCTCTATCATTCTTTTGCAGTGTATTATATATGTATTCTAAGAGAACAGTATATTTTCAGGGTCCATCAAATGTACATCAATGATATATTTTTTTTAATTATACATTTTACTAGAAATTACTTTCATTACAGTTTCATAACAGTTTCATTTTAAATGACCTTTTCTTCTCCAGAAATGACATGAAATAGTCAACTCTAAGCCTGCTAAAATGGGAAAGATCTCTTGACCACTTGAGAGGTATGCATACATGAAATATACATTTTTCAGGTTGTTAACCATACAATAGCGTGTGCCTTCCCAGTGAGATCTAAGCAGGAAGTTTGTGGTATTCTGCAGATATCCACCATGTGGCAATGCACACAGGAAATATGCTGCATGCTGCACATTAGAATGTTCATTACATACAGTCGATGGAAAATGTAAAAACTAATTACAATGAACCCCCACATTTACCAAACATTGGTTATCTTTATTATATGATTCCCTTTACTAACATTAAATACAAAATCAAAGAGTTAGTGGGGAAATAAAAAAAGAAAGTGATGATTATTAGGGGAACTAGTACTTGGAAGTTTGTTTAATAGAATAAGTGGGCAGCAAGACCTCTTTCAAATAGGTGCAAACACTTAACCTATATAGTGTGGTGATTAAATAATTATCAGTAGTAAAGAATAAAAGGTATACTGATCCAAAGATAATTCTGTTCAAAGATTCAGCTCAAAGATGGTCGCCCAAAGGAACATGCTAGAACAAACATGTATACCAAAGCTATAGTGATCCCCTACCTATTTTTCCCCCTCCCCCCACCACCCCTTCAGCAATTCTAGCTCTTGCTGAACTGGTCCCGCTGCGGCCACTCCACAACCCTGGAGCAGCATTTCATTGAGAACCGAGTCAAACTCGCAGAGAAGCACTTGTTGCTGTCAGGAAGACGCAACTAAAGACGTGTTTAACCCTGCAATGCTAACATTGCAGTTTCTACAAAACTGAAATGTTTTACATTGTAGGGTTAAATCTAAAGGGCCACTTCACTCAATCCACTTTGTTGAGATTAAGTGGTCTGGGTGCTTTTAGTGGCCCTTTAATAGATGCAAGCTGATCTACATTAATCTACCCATAGAAATAACCACGAGTTAGCTCAACTTCTAGTGGCACACTCTATTAAGAGATTATCTCTTAAGAAACAAAAGTTCACAGTCCGTTGCACATAGAGATGCAGTGTGGTGGAGGTCTGAGAAACAACGTATTGCTACGATCAGAAGCATTTCTTTTTTTTTTTTGTCCTGTAGCATATTTTACAGGTAATCGGAAGACTGTCTTATATATTTATTTGAAGAGATATATACTTGAGACAGTATATTGTGTCTGAAATAGGTGAAAGTTTCTTGTATAGAAGTGTGGTGGTGTGGTGGTATTTACCAGATTTACTATACAATTGGAAGTTTTCATTATTTACAGAGGTTGGCTAATTGGAGCTTAACCCTTCCTGTGAGAAGAGTGAGTCTCAAATAGACGAGAAAAATTTAAAGGTGGATTTTAAACTTTTCTACCTTAAGATATAAATTCTTTTTAGAGAGCCGTTTATCATTAAGTGCCACTGAATCCACATTAACTCATGGTTATGTTTGTGTTTGCTCATTACTTGATTTGAGAGTATTTAAGGATGGCTGCATTTAATTTAGTATTAATGCTACAACTGCATAACAGTAGTAAATAATAGATGGAAAGAAACCCAGATAGGATTTCTTTATCAATCTATTTATGTCAGTTATATTTGTAATTTCTCCGCAAGCGGCCTAGGAGGTCTCGTGGCAATGGGGGCACATAGTGGACAGGTGCCCCCATAAGGTTGGAGGGGGGAGAGACTGGAGCTGGAGGTGCCTTGGACCAGACCCCTGGAGGGCCTAACATCATGCAGGGAAGTGGGAGTTCCTGGTCTGTGGCAGCAGGCCCTTCTGAACTTGGGGGTGCTGTTCGGGATATAGGCAGGCCTTCCAGGGCCTATCCCTCTACCTGGTCTGGTTCCAGCTGAGATGGGGGCAGTAGGCCCCTCTGGTATGGGAAGGGGTGCTGCTGGATATGACATCAATCCTCCGATGATGCTTGCCCAGGGTCCCTTAGTTCAGCAGAGTCTTGGGGGTGCAGCTGGGCCTTCCCATGAAGTGGTTGAGGCAGGGATCAGACTGAGGCCCCCTGGGACCTCACAGGAGGCTGGGACCTCGCAGGAGGTGGGGTGGCTGCCAGGGGTGGATCACAGGGACTTTCTCATCATTGGTCCTCCGGGCTGGTTACACAGGGCAACCCACCGGGTGGCCGTTGATAGTGGTTAGTACAGCATCTGCAGGGTCCAGCTGCCTGTGTCACTGGTGAGTTGGAGCAGGACAGTGGGCAGCAGGTGGGTCAATCAGACCATGGGTGGTGCAGCGCCCGTTAATTTGAGGAGGGGCATGCAGGCGGACCACAGGGGTTGTGCTTTGGTAAGAAGCTCAGGGGCTGGTGGCACGGCGGCAGGGCGCAGGAGTCGGAGGGGTTTCAGCACAGCACCGGGCTTGTCACATTGTAGCAGGTCCCCATTGTGCCATTAGGGGGCACACTGCGAGTGGTGTGCAGGTCACATCGGAGTCCCCAGGGGTTTTGCTTGCACAGTTGTGAGCCACTGGTGGGGGGCGCTCAGCGGCTTTCCGGTGTAGATCTCGGTGTAAAAAAAAGCCCAGGAACGGAGTCAGAGTCCCAGGAGTTGGGCTAGCAGGGCTTGTAGAACTCATTAAAGCCTCATGGACCAGGAACATGAGCAGAATGTCAGGAAGGGGACACGGTGCTCCCTTAGGTGTGGGGGAAGGAAAGGCACGAAATGGTACAATTGGCCCAGGATTTCTTCTTCTTTTTCCAGGTTCTGCAGTGGAAAGCCATCTGGACATTCCCAGCATCAGGTGGTTTCTCCGCTTGGCGCGAGCCGAGCTGAGCTGAGTGTTCTGGTTTGGTGGGACTTCAAGGAGCAGCCCTGAGGCCATCGCTGGCAGAGGGTTTGGTTGGTGAGTCGGACGTTCCTGCACCTTCACTTGCTTTAGTAAATTCTTTACAACACTTTATTGATTCTTGGGGCAGGGGAGGTACACATAGGACTGATGCAGGTCAGGTCTGGGCTCCAGATGCAGAGGTTCTGGTGGATTCTGGGCAGGCGCTACAGGGTGACATGGCATTTGGTCCAGGAGCGGAGAGGCAGCGGCGGATGGTGGGAGTGAGAGAGCGGTTAGAGTGAGTGGGGAGTGAGTGGGGTGCATAATTCCCGAAGGGGGGCTCCCTCCTATAGGTAGTAATAGGTTTGAGTTTATTCTCAGACCTTGCTATATTGTTTGTTTGGGCAATGCTGATGTGCTCTCTCTTTTTTACTTAGGTCAAGTGACTTGGATCATAGTCCATTCCTTCATATTATGGGCCATGTGGAGACCTGCAGCTCATTTCCAGGGTCAGCAGCTGGACTTTCCTGAGGACCTGTTTAGGTTGCAATGGTTTGGTTACCGGTGGGTGGCAGGATGTTTGCAGCGAGGTGCTTAGTATGGTTGCAGGGGTTAGGCATCCGGATTTGCTTGTGCTGCATGCGAGCAGTAACAACCTGGGGTTTATCCCGCAATAGAAGGTTAACGGTTTGAGGGCTAGCTTCGCTAGGAAGTTGGGTGGGGTGGTAGTCAGGCACAGGGAGCTTGAGGATATGTTACCTGGATATTCCCGTCACGATGGGGTGCATCTCTCTGACGTGGGGTGCGATTTGTTTAACAAGTTGCAGGAAGGTTTGGCCCAGGCATTGTTTCTTTGGGGTGGCGGAGGTCAGACAGCTTAAGGGTTCAATAGGTCTTAAGGGGTCTGAGCTTGTGGCGGGCTGGTATAAGGAAGGTTAAATTGGTAACGGACCTTCTTAGGTAAGAAAAGAGCAAGAGTAGTTAGCTGGTTAGTTAATACTGTTGGTTATCTGTTGGTAATAGGTTGGTGGATTTCGAGCTCATTGGCACTTTTATATTGTATTGTTGTGATTGTTATACTATATTATGTTATGTCATGGGTCATTGCCTTGTGATTTGACATGTTGGAGAAGATATAATGTTGGATGGCAGGGGGTTGGGGTAGGCAGTGACTTTATATGTTTGTTTTATATTATATATATGTTATTATTATTATTATTATTATTATTATATATTACTATTATATTACTATTAAGGGTGTTGCTGTCTTACTGGGGGGTTGGTATATGGTTAGGTTTTTATATATACCTGCCCCAATGGCAACAATGCACCTGTCATGCATCATCAGTAAAACTGGAGGGAAAGAGGGTCAATGTAGTCTAAAGAGAACTTAATGCTTTAACCTAATTTTACACCAAATTATGTTTGATAGTCATGCATTTATGTGCCATGTTAGTTTGCTAGAGCAGCGTATATGTTATCAATACATTTCATCTTTTATTATAGAAAGTGAGCTGTACAAAACAATGACTCACAGCTTCAAGTGGACCAATCAGATAGCAGTAGACACAAACCTTTTCAAATTCCTGACTTGTATACAAATAAGCACGTTATTTGCCACATTTTATCTACAGTGTGAAATTCATATTGCAGGTATCAGGTGATACCATCTTCAAACATTATGATATATGATATGATACATGTAAACAAACTGCTATTAATAAACAACGTCACTAATTAACAACATTAATTATTCTCTTATTGTCATATGTAATATAATTTTGTGTCTGGCATCACAATTCTATATGCTACAAATGGCAAAACTTTACAATACAAATTTCTTCCTGTGTGGCAATTTTATTGAATATTCTGGTTTTGCAAAATATAATTTCAATATATACAAAAACTTTAGTGCAGCTTTTGCCAGTAGTGAAAAATTTAATTTTTCTCCTTATGAAACCATACTTTCCTTTGGTACGTTGTATTGTTATTTTGTCATATCTACTACAGTGTCCCTGGAATACCCATAATTCTACACTTTCACACATTCCCAGAGTAGATATGGCAGATACTGTAGGGGTAATTGGGGAAACAGGGTTGTTGGTATGACAAACTTTCACTCTTATAGTCTGACATCATATATGTATGTGTGTGATGGTCAGTGGATGATTTATTTAATTTGACTTGAAAATGTTCATACCTTTTGCTTTTTTAAAATGATGCTGTGTGGTGATGTGATGTGATGGGCAATGATGTTACACACAACAAAAAATTATTTCTCACCTCGTAGTGGTCTTCGCAGTCTTTCTCCTCAGTGTCCTAATCTAGGAAAGCAGTATCCAATCACTTGTCATATTGTTTTATGATAATCTTTTGACCTTATTATGGTTGTTTAGGGAACATGCCAGGCTGATAAGCTTTTCGGAAGAATGAACTTTCTGACGCCTACTAAGCATATTACTGAGGGGATTATCAAATGCTAATCCCTCCATTTCTCTCACCTTGATCTACTGAATAAAAAGATTATAATTATTAATAATAAGTATGTAATAGAGCAATTTATATCTGGCGTGATATCACATTTTTAAGGAATAAAACTTACATTGATTATCCACAACACTAAAACTGCTGACAGGTGAAGTGAATAACATTGATTATATTGTTACAATGAAACTTGTCAAGGGGTGAGCTATATTAAGCAGCAAGTAAGCATTCAGATGTTGAATTTTATGTGTTGAAAGCAGGAGAAATGGGCAAGTGAAAAGATCTGTATGAATTTAACAAGGGCTAGATAGTGATGGTCTTGTGGGGCTAGACAACTGGGTTGCAGCATCTCCTAAATGGCAAATCTTGTGGTATATTCCCTTTATGCTGTGGTTAATACCTACAAAAAAGGGGGCAAGGAAGGATAACTGGTGTACCGGAGTCAGGGCCTTGAGCACCCAAGGCTCATCGATGCACATGGGGAGTGAAGGCTATCCGGTCTGGTCTGATCACACAGAAGAGCTGCTGTAGTTGAAATTGATAATAATAATGTGTGTTCCTTACCTTTTAGGCAGTATTATGCTCTGGGCAATGTTTTGCTGGGAAACCTTGGGTCTTGGCATTCTTGTGGATGTTACTTTGACATGTACCAGCTACCTAGAGATTGTTGCAGCCCACATACACCCCTTCATGGCAATAGTTTGAAGAATATGACAATGAATTTAAGGTTTTGCCCTGGCTTCCAAATTACCAATCCCATTGAGCATCTTTGTGATCTGCTGGAACCACAAATATTCATGGATGCCCTATCCTGCTGCTAATGATTTTGTGGGATATTCCACAGGACACGTTCAAAGGTTTGTGGAGTCCATGCATCAATGCATCGGAATAGTTTTGGCAGAACAAGGAGTACCTACATATTAGGCAGGATTTTTTAATGTTGTGGCTGATCAGTGTAATTTAAAAATTTTTTGGAAAACCCTTCATAAGAGCTGTTCCCGCCATGAAAGCTCAGTCTGCGCCGAGCTCTCACAGACTAAGATTAATTAATTTTATTGCATCGCATATTTCTTTTACCCCTTAAGGACCAAACTTCTGGAATAAACTTGAATCATGACATGTCACACATGTCATGTGTCCTTAAGGGGTTAAGATGTTTTTTGTAGTCCAGTCCTTTTTTATTTTAATATTTGCAAAGTGATTGTAAGATTTTAAGACACAGGAATTCCAAAATTATGGCCAAGGCAGTGAAAAAAAATCTCCAATTTAGCTTTTTCCAGGTTGGTAATTTTGCAATATCTTTCTCCTAGATTCACAGTTTAAGGAATACTTGAGTAGGACGTCTCTGATATAGCATCAAATAATAGTATAATTTATATTGCTTTTTACCATCTCTTAAAGGCAAGTCCAGTTTTAGTGAAATAAAGGTTACAATTGCATCCATCTGTTCCAGCTCACCAATCTTGAGATGTACTAATTGGTTACGTTAGGTAATCTCTTGCAAAGCAGATTAAACATTTCAGAGTATTTCAATGGGATAAACCTGCAAAAACGTGAATTCCTGAAGGAGATCTTGCCAGTTGCTCTAGCGTTTGGACCTGTGAGTATACACCATGTAGATATTTTGTAGGGTACAGATAGGCTTAAACAGAAGCTTGCATCAATTTATTGAATACGTTTTTTTTGTGTGTGTTTTTTTTAAAGATAGTTTTGAACACAGCAGGGTACCTAATTGTTTGCTCTGCAGTTTTTAAGTTGAAAAGTCTTTGAGAGAAACCAAAGTTAAAATACAAAATAGGCCTGTGTGATCTAAAATTATCACATCTATTTCTGGATTTATATATTCTATATATATATATATATATGTGTGTGTGTGTGTTTTATATTGTTCACTGTCTTGCGTGCCTAAGATGGCAGTGTCAGCTAGTTGGGTGTTAACTCGTTACTTTTTATCACTGCTACTACAGTGAGGGAGCCTTATTTTGTGCTAAAAGGACAAACCTAGAGATCCTGTTAGTAATTCTATATATTAGTCCGTTGATACATACATTGCTCCTGTATATGATAAAATGGCATGCATCTTAAAGGGACAGGTTTTTTTTTTGCTGTAGCTTCCATTAAAAAAAGCAAAGTGTTATGAAAACATTAGCATCTTTAAAAGATCTTAGAATATCTACATAGCAAAGTATCTAATCTAAGCCCCTATTCAATATTTTTGGATATGCTTTTAAAAATGTTTTACTATTTTGAATTTAAAAAATATATATTTTAACCTTTTTTTTTATATTTATGTATTTTCAGAGATTTTAATAGTTGGAAAAAATTATTTAAAAAGTTTATCTAAAATATGAAATCATTTATAAAGCATATCCAAAAATATTGAAACTAGACCCTCGTTTGGAATTATGAAGACATTCAAGTTCACTGAAAGATGTACATAAGGTATAAATATGACTATTACAATTAAGTATCTTATAGACGCATCTCTCTAATTTCTGGTACTGATGGACAAATATCTGTAATTACAGTATCTCATTTGTGTTTTGGTGTTGGATCCAAGCATTAGAAGACATAGCAATATAATTATTTACTGACAAACAAAGACGAATGTATGAATGTAAAGTGAGGCATGAAGTGGGGTGTACAAAATGTTTTTAGTACTTTAACCAAAAGTAATGTGTTATACATCGACTCATTGCTTCCAAGGTTAAACTCTATTTGAGTTTGTTTTTGTAAAACATAGTTTGCAGGTACTGTTGTGCATCAATATGATGAATAATTATGTATGTGTAATATTATATGATAATCCTGTCAATCAAGGGTGTTGTTTGGCTACAGAAACACCTGGGGCTTGAGCCCAAAGGAAACCTTGATGACTTCTTCACCAACAGAGAGATGCAGATGCCATGACATATCACTGCTTCTCTATGTTGTGTCCTCTTCTCTCTATCCATGAACAGCGTGCTGCAGATGCTCTCCGAGATCTCAATGAAAGCATAGCTGGAAACAAATACATGCTGTACAGACAGGTATTGAATGCTATCCCGTCACACCATCTAACAAATAGATGAGTGTGCAGCAAAGTTCTCTTCCCCATCACCTCCTTCTTATAGTCATCTGGGGGCCACCACTGTGTCCTCCTAAGTAGCCTGACAAAGCATTATACTACAGATTGTTTTTTTTATTATGGCAGCTACTTTGAGAACTGCTGTCTGATGTAAAATTAAAATAATAATAAAACATATGAATTTCTTCCTACCCTCTTCATCATATGTAGTGATGAAAAAGTCCTAAATCCTAGACTTCAGCTAATCAAGACCCCACCACCACCAACAATGTTCTTCATGTGTTTTGACATTTTATTGTCACCGATATGGGGCAATATTTTATGGTTCTGCAGATTTTTTTTTTGATTTGGAGGTTACTATAGATAGAGCAATAAGACAGTGTGAGGATTATGGGAATATAATTCAGGAAATACTGGTGTG